ATGATTTTGAGGTAGATCAAAATCTTTTCCAGTGCATTTATGAAAGAGGTTCGTGAAGCAGACTTTATTATTTATCCTTATTATTCCACGGTGTTCCACGGTATATTTAGATGTAAACCAGTTAAGCTGTATAGTGGCTTCAGTGCATTTTTATACACCTATACAATGCTCATTCAGAGTGCACGTATTACAATTGACTGTCCAGGTTTTCATGTATTATTTGGATCTTAATGGTTTTCTGTCATATTTGTTACATTTTTTTAAAATCTCCACTCCAGAAAATATTTTTCCACGGGAGCCATTGTAAATTTCCTGTGACTAGTATGCAGTGCTTAACAGTTTGCAGTTCGTACCCCAGAGACCACCGGAGCAGTTCTAACTTAAACTCCACTGCAGAAATGCTCACCTCTGTTTTTCATATAATACCATTACAGTTTTCTTCAAGAAGCAATAATCCTATCAGCATTCAGTCTGCCTGCTGTTGTGAATTATTTAAATACCTGTCAGTATTTCCAAAGCCTTGGAGTGTCAAATACAAAGTGATGCATATGCTGTAAATAAACAAGCTTTAAAAATAAAGATTTTATATGAAAGCAAATTGATTCTTGTGTTAATGAAAGTTAAATGTGTCTGTTGATGAGCTTCAGATTATACGATTGCAAATTCAGTTTGATAATGATTTGGTGATAATGAGTTAAAGACTGGTAGCATAATTAAATGTCTTAATTAAAAAAAAAATATATATATAACTTAGTTTTAGCATGGTTGTGTTAAGAATTTCTATAATCAGATGGTTTATCTTTGGGATTTTCTTTACTAAAATGAGGCTGTACATACAGTTTACAATTTATGTTGGTTGTCTGTGTTAGCTTTATTTTTTATATCCACCCAGTTTGAAATTGCAAATTGTTGCGTTTAAGGCTCATTTGTGCAGTAGCAGCTCCTGCACTCCTGCAGTCTTCACTGAGAGGTCACTGGGGTCACTGTTTGCCGGAATGCTGGAGACCCCTGGTGGACGACTCTCAGCCCTGTCCCAGTGGTGCTCGGATCATTGTGCATCGCTACCTAGAGAGTCCAAGTCATGGTCGGCTAGTGACACGACCCAGGTCAAACTAATGTCGTCGGGATCTCTGAGCTCAATCTGCATGAGTCCGTCCGCTGTTTGAGGTCAGTTCTCCTACAATACAGGATAAAAAACACACAGTTTAATTAAAAATCTCTCATTGTCTTTCTTGCATTTATTTAGACCCTTTTACTACCACACTGTGACTACTTTTCAGAATTTGTTACTGAAAAACAAACTGAAACCCTATGCAATATACTCTTTTGTCATGAACCAAGTTGTCAGCCCTATAAAAAACAATCACTCCTCTTGGCAGATTTAAAACAAAACAGCTGTGCTTCATAGTCTTTCACTGATATCCCTAATACTCCTGTAAGCTGAACAAACTATGCTATACACCCCTGCCTACTCAAACATAACATTGGCTAATCTCATTCTTAATTAGCAGACAACCTGGCTCACGGCAAAAGAGTAGATTGCGTCTGGTTTTTCAGAAACAGATTTTGAAAAGTAGTCACACAGTTTGGTAGTAAAAAGGTCTGAATAAATGTCAGAGCGACAACAGGAGAGATTTTTAACTTGGGGGGGGAACTGTGTCTCAAGCATCCTACACCCAGATTCTGCCAACAACACTTAATTACCGCGACAATTACAGATTTTCCCTGGAACCTAATGATTTTCCTTGGCTGCTTTTTCAGGTCAGTGGAATAAACAGTAGCAGCTAAGGGCTTTCCTGGTCCAATGTCCAAAGGGCAACACATTCTGCCAAACATTCTGTGTTTTTTCTGTTTCCAGTGTCCATACGTGTTCATGGCTGTGATTAGCATTGCCAAATAAAAAGACAATTTGTACCGAAGCATCAGTATAAAGAGCAGAATGTAAGTGGTGTCGTGCATTAGCATTGTCTGTAGCCATATTCTTCCCCATTTGGTGCTTCATTATCTCATCAAAATGAGTTACAGCAAGAATTTTCAATATAATTCCCCTTGTTAAATTTTATTGCTTCTAAGTTGTCATATATATATATACATTTACGTGGCTGATGGGCAACGTGGGACCTGGGTTTGATTCTGTGCTTGCGGTTGTCTGTCTGTGTGGGGTTTGTCTCTCCAGGAAATGGAGAACAGCGACCCCATCTGGAAACAACAAGTGATGGAAGGAGATGAATTTGTGTCTGTACATAATCAACTAGTACCCAGCTGAAGCCATCAATCAGGGCCGACAGATGGGTTGGGGTGTCCCCAGTGTGCAATGGAGACCCATCTGTGAGAGGCGGACAGTCCAGTGTGTGAGCCAGCAGCCAGGATTCTCCATGGGCTCCGGGGACAGCTGCTCAGGAACTGAACTGTGACAGCACAGAAAACCATGGGGCTGTTTCTGTGTGTCAGGTCCCAGGGTTAAAGCGTTTTGAAATCTCCACAATATAATCAGAATAAATGTGCTTTAGAAATCATACTCTAAAGTCAGAGCTGTATATCATTCTTCGCTGCACAAAGTACTTTTGATTTGAAACCTCCTCTGAAGCAAGGGTCTCATAGACATTTAGCACTTGAACAATTGTGATCTTTTTGTGGTTTTGTCTGCTGATGAAGGATGGGGCTGTGCTGAGGTCTAGAAAATCGACATACATCCTAGTTTCTGCTCTCTGGCTTCACAGATGCAAATAAATCCTGACTAATCTCTCAGACTAACCCCACTTATTAGGCGAAACGGCTAAAAATGCTCAGTAGTCGTAAAATTTAATTTGACAATTGCACATAGCTTTTAACATCTTCTGAGTTAGTCTGCAATGGAAAACAAATGCGCTAATTTTATCCTGTAGCTTGGCTTCCTAGTCCTGGAGACCCAGTATTTACTGGTTTTCATAATTGGTTGCTTCCTTGAATCCTTTATTGCTAAACAAGCAAGCAGATCAAACAAGTCATCAATTAAAACTGAAGATTTAGAGTTCAGATGGAATATGAATTCAGAATGGGGAATCACTGCTTTATAAAATGAATAATTTGATTAGTCCAACATTTGTAATTGTTTCTGCTCATCTAAAGATTAGGTTTTGCGTGTCACTTCTTATAGGTAATAAAAAATATGTTTTTTTATGTTTGAAACTCAGCAGCAGGAGCAAAGCTAGGAGATACAGAGGAAACACAGGCCTATGGAATCAGTGAAGGATGATGAATTGTCACCACGCTCATGCTGTATGTAAACCAGGGGTGACAAGACACTTCCTAGAAGGTTTAGCATCCCCTGGATTTTATTCCAACCTGGCCTTTCAGCTACAAAGAGGATCTAATTATTGAACTGCATGAAACATGGCTCTGAAGTGTTTTCGAAATATCTGTATCTTTAACAAAGTGTTTGGAGAAGTCAACTCTGGAAGACCTCAAGTAACATTCTGTAAATGTCCGACTAAGAAATATAATTAGGTTAATTGTGCAATTGACTATCGAGGTTGGGAGAAACGCTAGCAAGCCATGGAGGAAGTGAGCGTGGCACCACTGACCCATGCTAACAGTCACAGGACTCCGGATTCCCTCAATTTCAGTACCGTGGATAGCGAAGCCCAGTTTGCCTATTGTCAAATCCACAGGACAGCTCCATGCACTGGGTCTCCTGAAGGGTTTTTTCATACAGCAGGTCGCTCTCACACCAGGTAGGTATGACCTGTAATTGTGTCTAGAAAATAAGACATATGTGTTTATACAAGATTAACCAGAAATACTGTTCCTTAATTGGAAAAGTGCTGCTTTATGGGAATCTTTTATATAAACATTCTCTAAGGAACTTCTCTAAGGAAGCGTTTCTTGGAGCAATGTGCGAGAACTCTGTTAAAACAAATGCATAAATGTCAGAGAAACTCCAGTTCACAGCTGCGGGCTACACTGCCTTCTTGATCAACACTGTACCCATGAAACAGCACGGCGGCCAATATACAGTAAGCGCTGCGAAGAAAAACACGCCGGGTAATGATAAAAGAGAGATTATACATAAGTAATGATAAAATACAAGGCCAGGAACGGCACTGTGCGTCATACAGTACATGCTAAATCACTTCAATACCCGTTACTATTCTGCGTTATGTGCGCATCACACTCGTGCAAAACCAGACGGCTTTTTCGTCTGTGACTGCTGAAAAACCGTTAGTGTGTGCTATACACGGCCTTGTCTAGCTTAGCTTTTTTTTTTTTTCAGAATTGGCGAGGTTCTGTGAGATCGCGCTTCCTGAGCCACACGCACCTTCTCTCAAGATAAGCCCATGCAAGCCGTCACATGACTCCATCACTCTCTCACACACACACACAGACACACACACACACACGCACGGTAGACTCCCCCGGCAGCGCGCACAGTGCACCTTCCTGACGGAGCAGGCGCTGGCTTGGTGTAAACAGAGCAGGTGTGCGGGCGGCTTTGTTAAAGCGCCATCCCCGTCTCGTCACCCGCCTCGCCACAGCCATGCCATGGAGATTTTGTGGCAATATCAGTTCAGGATCATCCTGCTAGGAGACTCGACGGTGGGCAAGTCGTCCCTGCTGAAGCGCTTCACGGACGGCGTGTACAGTGATGTGGCTGACCCCACCGTCGGGGTAGATTTCTATGCCCGTTCACTGGAGATCGAGCCGGGGGTGAAAATCAAGTTGCAGCTTTGGGACACTGCCGGACAGGAGCGTTTCAGGTGAGAGATGCGCTAAACATCGAGCTGCCATTTACAACAGATATAAAAAACGAGTTCCCCCCCCCCTTGTATATGTATTTATTTTAAATTGATCAAATAGCGACTGTGCTATGGGGGTAATTAAGGAATGTAAAACACAATAAAGGGGTATCCGTGCACAATAGGTGATGTGTAGAGGCGTGGTATGGTAAGAATTGAAGAATTGATGCAGCAACGCTCACTGCATATAGACATTATCAAATGAGGTCAGCGGGGATCATCGCTTTCGCTTTTAAATTTGACGTACCGCTGCTTGGTGTTTATCAGAAATTTTAAAATGGTGGTATCAGGATCGATATCAAATCTGTGTCAAGCCTATGTATTTACTTAGCGTGCTTGTGGTCTAAAATAAACAACGTTACCGCTGCAGTTCTGCTGCACATCGACTGACTGTGTACAGTATGTGCGCTCTGAAGTACAAAGGAGAAAGGATCCCAGAAGGAAGCTTACCTCCGCACACACATAAAAAGGGATCCGTATTAACTTGGTTTGCTACCGCTTCAGACACTCATGATCTCGGGCTCTAAATCCGCAGCCGGCAAGTAATCCCTAAAGCTCTCGGCTCCTTCAGTCCGTGCCGACACTGCACGCCGAGGCTGGTGCTGCAAACAGAGCGAGCAGCAGCAGCTCACAGCCGCACAGTGAGGTCGGTGTTATCAACGGCTTCCACCACCCAGACCTCTTTCTTCCCGTGACAGTTTTTTTTTTTGCGAAATGTGATAATATCGCGTCTGCAGCAGTGATGAGAAGAAATACAGAGAAAGCTGAGTAACACAGTTACACGGATTTATTATTGAATGTACAAAACGTCGCAATTCCTAACATAACATAAGACATACATAACGGAGGCTCCTAGCATACGATATCAGCTTCCATTGGACAATTGCTGGTAGATATTTGGCCGGGACGTTTACAGCTGTCTCAAGCAATTTTAAAAAATGAATAGATAAAATCAATTTTATAACATTTTATTTATAACATTTACTAGGTATGAAAAGTTAGCTTCCCAGTGCAACTACTGTGTTATTATTTAGAATTTCGATCCCAGTATTGAGCCACACCCCATGTGAAGTCACTTGTTACCACAAACTGCATTCAGACCACAGCTTCAGAAACACCAGTTCTTTCCAGTTACTGCAATGTGTGCCTGAGGCACAACATGTATAAGGGTCTACGTGACCACTATTCTTTCAGATGAATTAGACCTTTTTTGCAGGTTGTGTCCAAAATCACAGCCCTTCATTATGTTCTTTTGGATATGAAGCGGGTTAATTATTTGACGGAATAATGCTTCGTAATCATGATGAAGGCACATTAGTAACTGCCCTTAAGGTTTAAGTTTGATGCCACAGAGGAACTGCACATTCTGATAAAAATCAAGAGAGATCATGGCTCTGAATGCAGAACAACGTCTTTAGATAAGTGAAGCCCAAGTCAAGTCGTTTCATTGACCACACCCCTGCCATTATCTACTGTAGAAACCGGCTTCCCCAAGTCTGTTGTCAGCTAAACACCTGCCTCCAAGAGAGAGCTTTGAAAGACAGTCAACACATGGGCCAGCAGCCTCTTTAAATCGTCTCGCTGTGTATTTGGAAGTGATTTGAATTGTGTGGCAATTAGCGTTGCTGCCTCACCGCGCTGGGGCCTTGGGCCCAGTGCCTGGGGTGGGGTGCTATCTGGACCCCAGTTTGTACATTTTTGTGGGTTTCCTCTGGGTGCTCTGGCTTCTTCCCACAGTCCAAAGACATGCTGTTAAGTGAATTGACTTCTGGGAAATTGACCCTGTGTGAGTCCTGATATTCTCATAAAAAGACAGGCTTTACATCAGTGCATCAGTGTGGCTTCTGAGAACGTTGACGTACCAGTTAATCTCCATGCTTTCTGCATTCAGTCAGGATCAGAGTGTACACTTTCACATTAGCCAGGACCCTAACTGGATCCTGCCTTTGGTCATTTGCCATGACCCTAAAATAGAGGAGCAAGGATGATAATGTGGAGAGGAGTTTCTGTACTGAAACTGAAAGCTATTGCAATAGTAAAGTTCAATTCAATTCAATTCAATTTATTTTTATATAGTGCCTTTTGCAACTAGGCTGCCCCAAGGCGCTTAACAAAGCAAGTGACCATACATGTTGTGAATCCCCAGCAAGTCTCTCCGTTGGTGCTGTAGAAGATCTCACTCCAGACATTGCAACAGGCCCTGCCATGAAAATGACAGAGCTTGAATTGGTCCCTCTAATATGTGGACTTTTAAACAGGCTTACAATCACTGAGTGAAATAAACAGGTAGCAATGAATAACTGTCATTTCAGAGGATTTTAGATAAAACAGGAAAGCAACACGGGGTTAGAAGGATTTGGTTGGGCACCATGTGGATCTGCCATCCTACAGTACGTCTGGATAACGGCTCTCCTCCCTTTCCTCGACAGGTCCATTACCACCTCCTACTACCGCAACTCCGTGGGCGGGCTGCTGGTGTTCGACCTGACCAACCGCAAGACCTTCGAGCACGTGCGGGAGTGGCACCGCGAAGTGAGCGAGCACATCCGGCCCTACCACATGGCCTTCATCCTGATCGGGCACAAGAGCGACCTGGCGGGCGAGCGCAAGGTGACCCGCGAGGAGGCGGAGAAGCTGGCCGCCTCGCTGGGCGTGCGCTACGTGGAGACCTCGGCCAAGAGCAACAGCAACGTGGACCGGGCCTTCGAGACGCTGACGCGGGACATCTACGAGCTGATGAAAGCCGGGGAGATCGCCACGCGGGAAGGCTGGGATGGCGTGAAGAGCGGCCTGAACGCTAAGATCCTGTACCCGGCCGAAGAGGAGCCGCGAGAGAGCAAGTGCCAGTGTTGACTCTCCCCTGCCTCGTTTCTGCTTCCCCGCCGGTGTCTCCCATCTTTCCTCCTTCCTCATGGCCCCTGCCCTCTCTCCTCCGGGACCCAGAGCAGGTCTCCCTGCTGGCACTCCCAGCTCTGGGTCCTGACGTCTGGTCTGCTCACAGTCCAGCCAGCCTGGCCCGTTTCCCAGTCTGGTGTTTTGTGCACACAACCTCTGCAGCACACTGCCACTTGTGACCTGCAAAATGAACTTCGGCATTAAATCGCTTGAATACTGTTTAGCAACACCCTGACACTGGTACGATTGTTGCCTGGATATTTGGAGAGCTCCGTTACGAGTTATATCTGGATTCCCAGGCGGTTACTAGCCTTTTATGTATTCTTTCACAAACTACTGTGCAAGAAGGAACCTGCATCCTGTCTGTGCAATTGCATCATTGTGGTGTTATCGGGCGTAAGCTGAAGTCCAGTCTGTTGGAGTCATCGTTCTGCTTCTGTCCATTTTTCTGTCTTGAAGGAACCTTGTTCATGTTTCCCTAAAATAGCATTTTTCAAAGCAGAAAATATTTAGTTGTTCTGTAGAGGGGTGGCAAGGATACCAGATTGGTGCAAACTCTTTATTTTTGCCAGCTCGACTGAATGAGTGCTTTTACATACAAGCCAAAATATCTTTTTTCTTTCATGAATGACCAGATTTCTCTTCAGTCTATGTCTTACTACGCACCAGACAGTGTATGTCTTATACTCCTTCGTATTTATATCCACTTCTCCTTGGGGTTTTGTTAGTGTACTTTACTCCCAGGCAGCCTGGTGAAGTTTGAGGATGTATACATACTGCACTGGAACGGGAATTGAGGTCGAAACTTTACCCTTAACAGAATATACATCACATTTTGAAAACTTAACACCTTTATAAAGATGCTGCCACTGAGCAAAGCCTTGTGTGTGATACAAAAGGCCGTTTTGACTGACAGGAGAATGATGGGATGTGCCATATGAGGTAGTCCTGGGATGCACACCACAAATTTACCACTCCCAACCTCAGGAGCTCTATTTACAGAATGGTATACAATTTCAGTGGAAGACAATATCCCCTCCTTATCTGAATTGTTTCTTGCATGCAGCAGTCGTGTCTCCTCTGATGTAAATCCTCAATATTGGACCTCAATGACTATTACAGTACTCACGACAGAATATTATTAGGTGCTCATAGTATTTAGTTACTCAAGCCAATTAATGAATAGCAAGTAAAGTTCTGTAAAACTGTAAAACTGTTCCAGTAATTCAGGATGAGAAAAACGGACAGAACTTGATGAATGCTCCTGAGTGCAAGAGTCCAGGGCTCCAGGGTTATAAGGTTCTGTAATAAATTAAGCTTGTTCCATGGGCTGAGCTGTGAAAAATGTAATGGTGCCTATAGAATGTGGAGGACTGAAGCTCTGGAAGACGGGAGATGTACAGCAGAGATGTTTTTCTCTCGCCTTTCCAGGATTGCTCTCTGTTGAGATAAGGAGTCTTGTCATGGAGCTGCTACTGTAGAGGCTGCTGTACTGTGCCTCTCACACCTGTTTGTCCTGCTCGTGTGACCACCCACTCCTGATTACAAGCTCCGTACCAGCTTATATGTACAATTTCACCCCCTTATTGAGTACATCACTCAATTCCCAGAACATCTCTTAAAAATCCAGCAGCATTTGTAATCCTGCAAGGCCTAAAGCTTTGCCACCTGGCAATACCAAAATGGCATCCTAAGAGCTACCTGCCCAGTAGAAAACCCATTTGATGACCTAAAGATCTCGACTCACTGCCTCAAGCAAGCACTGGTGAAAACAGGATTTTAAAATCTCCCTTATACGCAAATTTCAAAGAGACATTACTCATTAACTAAGAGGTCAGTGTGGAAAAGGGGATTTGATGGATGATTGAAAAGGTCAAGTACTGTGAAAGAATGCAGAGGTTGCAACAGCTTATCACTGTTAAAGGATGAAGGGCAGTGATGCACTGTCAGCAGTCATGCATATTCAGTTTTGAAAGAATCTCATGCACTCAGACATCCACAGCCACCACTTGCAACCTAATTATTGATCTTTTATGGGGTTTTTTTCCTGGGAAACATCACATTCTATAGACTAATACCACTGAGATCAGAATGTTCTGTCCATTTCAGTCTGAAAATTGGTGCTTTCTTTTTAGATAGCTGCATCGTACATACTGCACATTATGAATTTCTACAAAGTCACATGGAACAACTGCTCAATGCACTTCTTTTTTTTATTTCTCAACTGCTGCGATACAGCTCAATGCTGTATAGACCCATGGTAATAGGACTGCAACTTTGTTCTCATAGGGGTGTTGGGAGAAAGAGACTTGCATTAGCCACCTGGAGCATGATGTCAAAACTCATGTGGAAGAGTAGCAATCTTTGCCATTCCTGAACTGGATGGTAAACAGCTGTGACTGTGATCATTCATTGTTCAGTAAGATAAGTGACTGCGTGTTCGTATTTTCACTTTTCGAGGTGGCCAATAGGTGTTCACAGTAAATGTGTCTTGATAGTTAAGCACTGCCTGCACTTCAGTCAGGGCTCTTAGCTCTGTGCACTCGTCCTGAATGTCCTTGATTGTAAATGGACTGGATAGCACCAGCCAAGTGTGCTGAAACCTGGACCCCTCCCCCTTCAGAAGCACAACATGGGAGTTCACCTAAATCCACCAGGAGAAAACCTGCGAACCTCAGCATGTGTGAGGAAGGCTTTCTGGTACTCGACAGTAAACCCTTTTCCACGAGGATGATTGTTTTCTCTTGTGTCACTGCTCAGTCACAGCCCAGAAATGTTTGTCCATGACAGAATGAGGTTTAATAGAGCACGATCCACAGTGAATTTATTTCCAGTGCTTAAAATACTTTTCTCTTTTCATTGCCTGCGAATTGTTCCATAGGTGCAAAGTCCAGGATAAATCACAACCTAATTTTTCATTCATTTACCCTTCAGTTTACAAGGGAAAGAGAAATATGACAGAAACGGCAGGTTTTAATGCAGAGGAATTAAAGGGCTCAGTGATCTAGACAGAGGACAAGCCATTTTGATTTGAAAATGCGGAGTCGTGGTTCTCCAATTAAACAAAAATCAATCTTATTCAGAAAAACATGAAATCAGAAAGCCTCTCTCCTGCTGTTCTGTGTTGCTCCGCCTCCTCGCTCAGCATGATCCAAAATCGCCTCTGAAGAACTGGCATCCCTGGCTTCGCTTGCCATGAATTAAATGTAGTAACGGAGCTCGCCACTCATTCACTCACCACTGCTCCTCGGCCAGGAAGATCAGTATCCCCCTGAAATAGGAGGAACCAGAGCCGGTAGAGAAGCCAGAAGGGAGGCAGTGAACGGGTCGCCGGTGGCAAGGACGCAGGCACAGCTTGAGAGCTGGCCGCCCTGTGTCAGCGCTGCCCTCCGCAGAGGGGCTTTCTGCTAGACAGGGATGCAGTCCACTGACTCACCGCCGTGCGCATTTTGCTGTGTTTTGGCCGTCGGGGAGCACACAGAAAGCTCCGGTTGCGTGTGCTGTTTTTTTTTTCCGCTAAGACTCGGCTCTCATGGCCGGCTCCGCCCCGCTGTACCCCCCAGGCCTGCCCCCCACCCACCCCCGGCCACACGCCGGAGCTCATCCGCGGGAAGGCAGGTGACATCTCCTGTTGCCATGGCTGCGGCTCTCACAGCCTGATAGATAAAGCTCACTTTGCCTGGTGCTTTCAGCTCCTCACCTCTCACCAGCATTTCACAAAGACACCGCTAGGATTGTAGATGTTTTTAAAAGCAAATCGTTTCGTTTTTACTCTCAACGTGAAATCCTTTTCTTGTTGCTTCTGAACTAAAGTGACTGAATTATTTCTGCCCTGCGGGGGGCTTTGCCAGATTGAGGGGCATCTGAATAACTGGACACCCCCCAGCCTCGCACCCAAAAGGACTGAGCTGTTTCCTGAAGCTAAAAGATGTCAGCTGGATATACAGTTTGTGCGGTCACATTTACATGCAATTTATCTGACATTATTCAGATCAGCAGTGTCAAATTCTGCTCACGAAAGGCTGCAGTGTTTCAGGTCATTTCGCTGTTGCAATTGTTTGACCATTTTGAGTAAATTTAAAACTTTACTCCGGACAAAACGTAGTTTGTCAGGAACCTGTACCTCCGTCCTGTTTTCTACCAGAAACATGTAAAGGTCTTGATTATTGTTTTTACACCCCTCAAGAATCAGTCTGAGATGAAAATAAAATAAGATTCTGCAGCTCTCAAGGACGCTTGGTTGACAAGCCATGTGTAATAATGATATATACAGTGTATAGACAGTAACGAACACAGGAACCCATTGCTGTTATGAAAGACTGGCGGTCAGTTTGCACACATGGAGATGTCGTCAAGCTACTTTAAAGTTAATTTCCAGTCTTTAGAATCTGGCATCATCTTCATACCTCACCTGCATCGTGTGACAATCAGCTGTCTGCCGAGCTTCTTCTTTCACACCCCCTTGTGAAATGTGAGCCCTGCGATATGACAATTTAGCTCCAGAGTGACTACAGTCTCGAGCAGTCAAGTGTAAAAGTGCACATCCTGTGAGAGATGACGCAAGCGTCAGAAAAAGATCTTGTTCCACAAGCAAGTTCCTATTATGTTTCAGTGCAGTTTTGAGACAATTGGCTGGAGCTTGTCTGAATTTGTTCAAATAAAGTTAAAATGTGAAACTGGAACAAAGGGTCTAAAAATCCTCCCTGTGAAAAGTTATATTCAAGTTGCCTTTCAACATACTGTATTTTTAAAACCTGATTTAGAACCGCCCATTGCTTTCTCCTTTGTTATACATTATTCTTGTTGGAAACAGCTGCAATGTCCTTCAGCCTGACTAAGGATGGTGTGATCCAGCTGGCACAGGAGAAGTAAAGACAGACATTCAACATCCTCTGATGCATGTGCTGTCAGATTAGTCACACCTTTTTTAATAATGTGGGCCTGGTGACATCAAATATGGGTGTAGATATATACTGTATGAGGAATTGGGTCTCATTTTCTTCGATATAATGCTGGGGGGCTGGCAAGCCCTGATTACAAATCAAGGTGGATTGAAGAAATGGAATCCAGACTCTCCTGGTTCTTTGCTTTTTCAGCTCCAGATGACGTATTTTGCACATTGTTCTCTTCCTGTAAATTTAGTTTCTGGATCGTTTTGCATGTCTTCTGAAAGAGTAGCTGTGGTTCTCGTGGTCAGGTCTTGTCCATTCCCTTCCCAGGGGGCTGTTATTGTTGTGATGAAGCCCAGCTGAAGATACTACTACACTACAGCCTGTTTCAACTGAGTATCGCACCCTATAACATCACTTAACAGGAAATACACTGGCTTCCTATCATATTCTGATGAAAATGAATTAGCTGTATTACCTGACAATTTAGAAGAAATAATAAAACTATTTGTCCATTCTTATTTGGTGATATCCTTCTTTATAGAAGTGATTAAACACTCAGAAGTGGGTGGCATCTTATTATATTTATAAAAGTGGAGGGACAGAAAAATCGGACACGTGGTACAATTGTGAAGCACTTAAAGTTTTTAGGTGGTCTACTATAGTGAATGGTGTTTTCTCATAGAAAAAGCACCTTCTGATCCAATTATAGAAATTCGTACAGGATGCATTGACTATAGCTCATGCAATCTGTCAGCACATGGTGTTAGGATAACACTTTAATCCTTTAATATTTAGAATATTTTATAAAGCATTCCAAGCTTAAATAATCCTCATTTTTTAAAATCTGGCAATTGATAAAACTTCTTCCTTTAGGACAATAACACGTTGAAAAAGTTTCTGAATATTTAAGAATGTTAAGTAGTACTAGTTCTGTGATTAACAAGTGGCTGGTGTTTGACGCCCTCTTTTGAAATTCTAATAGAACTACAGCACCAAATGCGGTTCTAAATGTCATTGATTGGACAACAAAGATAGTGTTTTTACATGTCACATATAAAAAACACTGTTCAGGTTTACTGCGTGTGTGTCAAGCCGCGATGAAGTATGGGAATAAATATAACTGATGGTAATGAAGTTGTCTACAGAGACTTCTACTTAAGCTTCTTGAGAAACTATGTCATTTACCTTTACATATGGATAAATTGTACTTTATGGGCATACATAAAGGTTTCTGACACATTGAATCTGTGAAACGACAAAAGCTAATTAATTTTTTTTTCCAAAATTTCTTTTTTGAAAAACTCAAAAAGATTTACAAAACTGTAAATCTGTTAGACAGTGTTAACTAGATATTCATATTATCTTGCTGACTGCCAGTTTTTGCTTTCTGTAAATCATCTCTTGCTGTGAAGTGAACTGGCCACTCCCAGCGTTTATTCCACAGTGCTCTCCGTTCAGTGTTTGAGCTTTGTACTCCACTAAAATGATGCTGTGTCTTGCTATTCTCTTTGTAAAGTGTCTTAACATTTACCCTAAATTTCTATATGCATATTTCTTCCAGTTAAAACATTCAAAAGTAACTGCTTTATGCCTGTTAGGTCTGAGCAGACATTGCTTTACAATTAACAGAGATTTGAAACCTGTGTTAACTACCAGCTGATGCCGAGTTTAATATTTGATATTTATGTAAATATATTATTTATTAGCCTTTCATCCCGTATTTTTTAAAAACTGCAGTTAAGATCCGAAGTCATCATGATTTATTGTTATTACGTTCACTAAACTGTCTACATTTTTGTATTTCTATGACCATTTCTAACTCATCTGGCAATGCATTCTGGGATCAGTAGTTCTGAGATTGAAAAGGAGTGAATGGGGGCAAGCCTGGATAATTGATTAAAAAAAATCCCAAAATGCCAGGAACCAATTGGCCCGGTCCCAGAATATGGAAAAACATTTTTATAGGCAGGTGCTTTTTTATCATGTAATCTTCTCTGGGCTCTGTAAAATGTTGAGATACTTGCATTGTGATTTGATATGTGATGTACAAAGAATAAATGTTATTTAAGTTAACTGAATATGTGGTCTTGTATGTAATAAAAGTGGCATGTTAAGTCACCTGATGGCACAGCTTTTCAGCAATAAAACTTGGAAACAACCCTTGAAATAAGGAATAAACAACTCAAAAGTTCGTGACTACAAAACACTAAGCTGTAGACACTAATGCCAAGTGGCACTAAAATGCAGAAATGTAATATTGGAACCTACAGAATTTGTTACGTTTGAATGCATCTCAGTATACTTTCTTTTTATATGGTGTGACATTAAATGCTATTCCAAGAGAAAGTACTGTAGAAAGAGTTATGAAACACTGTTCCACTGGGAGCAGAGAATTAGACTAATCTGCCTCACCCTTCTATATATAGATGTCAAGATAAGGCAGACAGAAAAAATAAGTCAGATTAGATCTCTAAATCCTAAAGTGCCAGTATCCACATGGGCAAACTAATTATATTTCCTCCTCTGTTTTTAGAAAGCGTGATTGAATCTAGATTTGAACCTGCACCAAATCTGAGTTAAATGTAAGGGCAGCCATGGTCAGAGATATTGTACTTTCTGCAGGCTCCTGCAGTAATCTCAGCTGCTCAGCTGCACAGAGACGGTTTTCTCCCAAAGTCCAGTTTCCCTAGCGTTAGCAAACCATTCACACTAGGTACTCCCTCTTCAAAGGAGATGCAGTCATGCCTTGATTCAGCGTTTCCTGATTCCTAGTCATGTTGCTAACAGCGAGCCCTGGAGGACAGAGCCAACTCCAGTGACCCCTGTCTTCAAGGGGGGGCAGGCAAAGAAGAGTCTCTGTGGTATTTCAGAATGTATATCAACCACAGATCATTTCATCCTCCCTAAACCCCTGGAAGTGTGGATGGCAGTTTCATCTTCCTCCAAAAGGGGTATATCCTGCCCTTGAAATATCATCTGAGTTATTCTTATATGGCAGTGTTGCGCGATTACATGCAATGATCATTTTTTTGATTAAATCTATCTATCCTGATTAAGAAAGCTAAAAAAAAGTGACTGCAGAGTTTCCCCTTGATCAGAGGAAAGAATTCCCACCCAATAAACGTTTGACTACACAATCGACAGTTTTAAAGGGTCTGATCTGCAGGTCAGCAGAGAAAACCTGCCCAGTGAGTCAGACCTGAAAAAAAAAACGTAATGCTGGAAGAAACCGAAGCTTGTTGTTCATTTCTGGCGAGCCTTGTGACCCGCGATTCTAAACTTCCACATTTTGAAGATACTGTGTAAAGTTTAGAGATGTCTGGAAGTTTGTGTGCGACCCAGCGCTGCCACAAACCACATGCCTTGTGAGTAACAGTTCTTGCTGGCTGCCTCCTCCTCCCCCCACTGCATTCTTCCACTCTAAACCCACTGCTGAGAGCCGGAAACTCTCCTATCTGGTCATGGAGCAGAGCTCTTCTCACCAGTGCAGGCTGCACTCCCCCCCCCTTCGCCCTCTTTGTCCCCTCCCTCTCTCTCAGCGAGTGTCAACAAGTTGAGACAGGAGTACAAGTTTGGAAGCAACCTCCTCTATCTCTCCTCCCTCTCTGTTTTACAATAGACAGGAATGCACTAGGAAAAACTGGGGAATCAGCTTCCTTTTTTTTCTCGCACATATCAGCCCATGCTCAGATACACTCCACATACTGGTGAGCAATTTAGGGAAGGAATTTCAGTTCTCCCTCCTACTGCTCCACTCACTCACAGGTAGTCATTCATGTAAGGGCGTTGCTTTCAGTGTTGCACAAAGTTGAGTGCCGTGGAGTTCCTGAAATATCAGTTCTTTTTTTCTTTTGCTGGAAGGGACAGCTCCTTCACCCAGCGGCAGCGGGCATGGAGTCACTGTGGCAGTACCAGTTCAGGATTATTATGCTGGGGGATTCCACTGTGGGCAAGTCGTCCCTGCTGAAGAGGTACACCGAGGACGTCTTCATTGAGTTCATCAACCAAACGGTGGGGGTGGATTTCTACGTGCACTTCTTGGAGGTCGAGCCAGGAGTGCGGATCAAGCTCCAGTTCTGGGACACAGCCGGACAGGAGAGGTTCAGGTAAGGGAACCGCTGGCCTGGCGTTAGAGGGGACCCAGGGTCTAATCTTTTCCACACGGTGGAAATGACTCTGAGACAGTCAGCTGATGGATTTTGATGATGGATTTATATTTGGGAATTGTTTTATAGAAAAATGTCGCTTAGGCATGAGCAGCAAATCTAGCTTAATTTTCCATTGTTAAAATATGAGTCTAAGCATGTAAACAACAGTCCTACTGTTTGTAAACTAGCTGTTTTGGACTAAGGGTCATGTAGTGTTGCTACACAGGTTGTTAATGTTGAATCACAGTTGCCTAACTATGCCACATCAATAGCCCTGGACAAACACAGTGCTACTGACAACAAATGCTGTTTTCATGTAACAAATCCTACACATGGTGCTGAGAATGACCCCAGCATTATCTGTTTGTCTGGTCATTATCTATTAATCAAAAACTGAGAACACTTCAACAAGTGCCCGAAAAACAGTCCATCCCTCCTGCTTAAAACAGAAACCTCTAACACTGCAAAACCCAGAAAGGAATGCCGTATGACCCCTTTGAAAACAGGGAAGAGATTTGTTGTGTGTATCTGCAATTACTGCATTATTTATATCAAAATAGAAACTGATCAAACTGAGACCATCATCATTGCCATGACAGTCAGGGTCAGTTTCAGACCCTTCATTTCTATGTTAAGAAACATTACAAAAAGCATTGGTTAGATGCAAACATTCATGCATGTACATATATACTGTATATTAAAGTATATGGATGCCTCACTAATTTAATAGGTAGTCAGAAAATGCTAATTATGTGAATGTCTGAAGGTGACCTAAAAATATTATCAAAACAGACCAAACACAGTTCTATTAACACTGAATTTAAAAAGCTAATTCAGCTTACATAGAGCAGGAATACATTATTCTGGTGAAACTGTGTTTTACACTGAAGGTTCTCCAATTTTATTTTTTGCAGTTAAAGGTAGCTGTACAAAATAGCTAAACAGTACTTCAAACCTCTATAGAACCTCTATAGAACAATATGTAGAGCAAACAACTGTTTTTTTTAAATGCAAACCAGATCTGTTTAAAAAACAAACGTAACAATTTGCAAGTCACACAGTAGTCTCATGCCTAGTTTGAGTGTGATAATCCACTCCTGATAAGTGCAATCAATTCTGATTTCACAGTGCACCACCTCAGTGTTTTATGAGGAGTCAAGCCACAGCAAGAAGCAATGCTATCATTTAAGCAATTTATCAAGGTGCTAGGAAACCGAATTTCAAAAAAGGTTTTTTTGGTTCTTGCCATTGATCGAGAGGGCTTAACACATTGATTGTAACAAATGATCAACGATGATCGTCATGAGCAGGAAAAAGAAAGCACTTAAAGCATTTAGCACAACAAAGCAGAGAGATCTCATGCTAATGTTCCTTGTTCCTTCAGTACAAAGAACATTCAAAGACATGAACTATTATTCTGAAGGGCAGTTGATACCTGCCTGTCTGTCAGAATGCATTTTACATTGTGTGTTACTGTCTGGAGAGGTGACTCAGGGGGTGTCTTGTCTCACCTCTCTACAGTCAGCTCCTTACAGGATCCACCCTTCTCTTCATGACAATTCCTGCCCACTTAATGGCTGTTCTTTCTCTGTTGGGCCATCAGGCTCTCTCACATTCACAACCTGCAATAATGAGATTTTTTTTTGTTCTTATCAACTAAAAAGTGGATAGCATGGTGACAGAGTCATGCCTCCTGGAGCTGGGGGCCTGGGTTCAGTTCCAGACCTGGGGTGCTATCCTGAAGGGGAGTTTGTATGTTCACCCTGAGTTCATGTGGGTGTTCCTCCAGGTTTTCTCTGGGTGCAGTCCTCCCACAGTCCAAGGACATGTTGGGAGGTTAATTGGCGTCTAGGAAAACAGGCCCTGGTGTGAGTGGGTGTGTTTCAGTGTCTGCCCCGTGACGGACTGGCATCCTGTGCAGGATGTACCCTGTTTGTCTCTGTTGCTTGCTGGAATAGAAATAGGTGAGAATTTGGATGGAGCAGCTAAAAGTTATGAAAATAATCGCAAGCATTGGATGAACAACTAAACTATGTCCGATGTCTTGGAGCATATCGAAATCAAAGTTTGAAACAAATCCTTAGGGTTAGGATTTCTGCACTTTTCAAGTTCTTTATTGATATTAACACATGGTTTCCACACAGTCCTCCTGGTTTTTATAGCTCTCTTTAAACCAGCAGCTGCAGACGAGCTGGGAAAAGCTGCTGAAGTGCTCAATTAAGATAATATCTTGTCCGTTTAGTTCATTAGGCTTTCTGCTGCAATGAAAAGCTGCATGACAGTGGCTCTCTGGGACTGGCTTGGCATCTCATGGTATAGACACTTCCGTGCAGCTAGTTCAGATCTTTCTAATTACCTTTTATTTAAATCAATGTTTTCGATGCAGACCTAGTGTTAAGTCACAAGTTTACTGATGGCAATTTTCTGATTCATCATTCCAGGAAAACAATGATTACGATTAACAAATCAATGCAAGGCATTATCAATAACTTCATGACAGCTGATTATCATCATACAACCAATGTGCCAGGGAGCATTCGCCATATTGTTTCATTCCAATATGGATTTGACACATGAAGTACTGAACTTTAAAACTGGCATACTGCCTTATTGGTAATGCGCTGATAGTGGCCCCTGTAGACAAAAGGCCCAAAACAGCATGAACATCATCTCTGCAATGCACAGTGATGTTGAGGATGCCTGCAGCCAGAGATAATGGGGGAAAGTTCTGTTTTTCCAGCCGACAAGAAAGGCAACTCTTCCTTCCGCAAGCTGATACAATTAAAATGGTCAGGCTAGAGGAGGGAGCAGCTTAGATTCAGAAAAAAAAAGCTTTCCCTGCTCTGAGAGAACTGCGATGAGCTGCCTGAGAAACTAGAGCTCAGCTCCTTTCCCAGCACTTCTGCTCCCTGAATCACACAGCCAGTGTCAGGACTGAAGTAGGAGACTTGCTGTATTTCAGCAGGCTGGACAAACAGGAGCCGGTTCAGCTCTCAGGCACAGCTGATCAGGGGCTACCAGGTCACAGCTGCAAATATGAACACCTTATATACAACCTGCGGGATACCAGTCCAGCTACCTTTCACTCGTCTTCTGTCAGTTTATTTATAATGCTGATTTCACTTCCAGTCTCAAGCCTCAAAAGGACGCGAGTGTCCTCTCTGCTGTGCTGTGCAGTGCTGGCAATGACTTGTCTGTGATGAGCGATCCTAGCCTGAATTGACGGGGCTAAAGAAGAGGTGGCAGAAAACCCGCGATGCGAGAGGGCTGCGATCCTGCTCGCTTTGCATGTTTCACTCAGCACCTGCTTCAAATCTTTCCTTGTTCCATTTGGCAAACAATCGCACACACGATGGAAAAACCGACGGACTAGGGCTGTGGCACTGTGTTACAGGACTGGGTGTCAAGAGAGCTTCTTGCTTCTTTCCCGCAGGTCGGTGACCCGGTCCTACTACCGCAACTCCGTGGGCGGGCTGCTGGTGTTCGACCTCACCAACAGGAGCTCCTTTGAGAGCGTGCGGGAGTGGCACAGAGAGGTACAGGAGCGAGTGCACCCCCAGAAAATGCTGTTCCTGCTGGTGGGGCAGAAGAGCGACCGGACGGGGGAGCGAGCGGTGGAGCGGGAGGAGGCCGAGCTGTTAGCCCAGGAGCTGGAGGCGCCCTACGTCGAGACCTCGGCCAAAAGCGGCACCAACGTGACGGGGGCTTTCGAGCAGCTGACGCGGCGGATATACGAGGCGCTGCGCAGCGGGGACCTGCAGATCCGCGAGGGCTGGGACGGCATCAAGTGCTCTGCCCCGCGGGCCCTGGAGCTGCGACCCCCCGCAGAGAAGCCCCCCGAGAGCAACAAGCCCTGTCCCTGCTAGCTTCACCCTCTGGAGAAAACAAAAGAGCTAAGAACTCCGATACACTCTGGGGCAAGGCTCCCGGAATGAAAAGCGAATTCCCCTAGAAAGCAGCAGATCCTTTTCCACCCGAATGAATTTGGACTTCAGTATTATACGTAATTTATTCGTTTTTGTGATATTTCAATCGATCGAAACCCCAAACCGAATCGATGTCATGATTTCGTGCTCCCATCAGTCTCCTCCATCCCTGCTGCGTCCGAGTTCTGCGAGACATCTGCATGCTGATAATTTCATCAGGCGTCGATCTAAGGGACAAAGACTCGAAAACAAGTGGTAAACTACAGAGGACGAAATATCACGAGCATTGCAAATCTATACAAAAGTATGGAAACCTTCCATTGTGGTGCATTACGTTACTTTTATTTTGAATCCATTGTGAAAACTTGAAAAGAAATTTAGCAGGCATGTTTAGAATGTGGAATCAATCTGGGTGATTCTCCAACTGCATCGATTACCAAACAGCTCAATTTTACGAAACAGCCGAGCACTATGGGAATATGTTCTTGAAAAGGAAAGAATGAGTACCGTTTTCAAGGTTTTCTTATCCTCACAAACTGACAGCCTGTGTATAATGGCCACCTTGCAGGTCCATGCATCTTACAGGGTGTGCCCAAGGACATGTTGAGTTTTTATTTAAAGAAATGTTCCACTTCAATAATGAAAAATAAAACGATTTTTTGTCTCTCCACTTGCACTGAATAGTCACTCTACAGATAAAAGGTCTGTATCGGTCTCCTGATATTTGTTTCCAAGTTTCTTCTCCTTAGTGTTTCCTTCTGTGTGAAGTTCTGCAGCATCTGTGAGACTTGACAAAGTCATTAACTACATTAACTAAGCCCCAGGGAGCTAAGGTCTTCTCTCTTCACCATCACCATGAGCATGAAGGCAAAATGGCCATAATTTGCCTTATTGATTTTTTTTCTTGAAGTTATTTTGTGTGCTTTAAATTATTTTTACCTTTTGCATTATCATATAAATCACACCTCTGTTATCAAATACCTACTTTTCATGGCAAACAATATGGTGCACCAGAGGAATACCTGTGTAATATGGGAACACCACTACAATACTGTGGCTGTTCAGACTGGGGTACAGCTCAACAGCAAGGGGGGTACCAGACCTGAGACAGGGCATATATGAGAGACCACTGTGTCAGTTTCCTCTGGAGAGATGATGTCCGGTTGGTGTCTGTGGAGTGCAAAAAACTTTCCAATATTTCAGTGCTAGTGAGGCCACTATTATTTTCTGCAATAACACTTAACGATGCAGCAAAGGATGTTCTGATATGACAAAACCCTCTTTACTCTTACTGTACCACAATGTAGTTGACCTGAGTGTGCACCTCTGTTTTCCGAGTGCCGAAACAACGGTGACATTGTTCACACAAAGCAACTTCCCCAACAGCACTGTACCCGCCCTCTACTGTAGTGTTAAAACACCTCTCCCTCTACAGTGATTTGCATTTTATTCAAAACCCAATTCAAGTCAGAGTATGTCTGTCAAACTGCCACAATGTTTAGAGGACTAAATTCAAATTCTATTTTCACACATAGAATAGGGGGCACTTTATATTAACCAAGAAACTCAAAGCATTTCTGTAAAACAGGAGAATTATCAATTGTTTTCACATTCTTATAAAAAACTGCTAAGTTTGCCTCGTTTTAAGAACATTGTGGAATGTTGGTTGACTTTACACTGTTTGACCACTGACATATATACCATAAATATACACACGCTCCAAAATATGTCTGAATACATTCTTATCATTAATATCAAATATATCCTTGATGCATAAACTCAACAGGCAGAACTTTTGCAAATATATTTCAAACTATTTTTTGTGCAGCCTAGAATCATGGATGGACTGGAGATTAGTTACTATTCAGTGACCCTTCTAATTACACCTGACAGGATTTCCTGGCCATTTTTTCAAAATACAACAAGGACTTTAAACAAACATCCAAACCATCAATATACATACTTTCTCAGTTTTAAAAATGAACTTGATACTGGAACCATGGAGATGGAATATTACTTCACCATTTGTTGCTAGCTATAAAACATTTAAGAACTGAACTAAATAAATATTACATCTGTAAATTAGTCTGTTAAGGGGTTATTGACATGCAGCAAAATCTAGCACCAGCTACAATATTACACTGAGATATTTCGGGAAATATTACAAGAACGAAAAGATATAAAATTGTTTTTCTCTACCTGAATATCAGGGGAGTGTTAAAACCCAATTGAAACAAAATTTCCATCTCAAATTCTGTGCAAGAAAAACTGTAATAAAAAGGCACTTTTTAAAAATTTAATTCCATATTCAAAAATACTCCCACAAAGCAAGAAAACTTGTAATTCCTGTGCACTTATTTTTCTAGCTCAGGTGCAGGTAGGCCCCTTTGACATTCCAGAGTTAGTTTGGAGTTACACTGTTGTTGGAACAGCTCTGGGACATCTACTGAAGACGTCAAACCCTATGATGGGTCAGGGACAACTTGCGTCATCTTACTTGATGAATCACAACCCTGATCTGGTTTTGGAATATCCTAAAATTGAACAGTATAGATAGGGGTATCAAATTGGATAGAACATCTTGTAACAGCACTACCCCATATCTGTACATATTTCAAGATTTTGTCACAATACAAAAACAAAAATTTCATTCCTGTATGGTTTTGAAATTCCACAATGCTTTTTTCTTTTTTTTTTCTATAGGCCCTGTCCCAGTGTCACACAGTATTTTTCTGTTGCACCTTGGATTAACTAGGCACTGCAATGTATGTGCAATATGGTTCAATTTCATATTTCAGTTACACAATGTATATCCATAAGTTCTACCTCTTAATTCTTTCAGCTCTACAGCTCAGGTTGGTGCTGTTATCTCTTTTCCTTACAGGCTAATTTGAAATTCTTCATTTGCCATGGCACCATGCTCTATCTCCTGGAAAGGAAGAGAGGAGGCAGTGCAGGAAAAAAAGGAGTGGCCCTCAGAAATTTTCCAAAACAATGTCTGGTTATGAAATAAATGGCACTGTAGGAATGAAGGAGGTTCTGTCAAACCAAAAGTGCCGCTGTGATCTCCTGTGGCTTCACAAACAGAAGAGGCAGAATTATTCCAAGCACTTGTTGAAACGTTGCACAATATTTACATTGTAACCAGCAGTGCAATACACAAAAAAACATACAGCTGGTCTTCTTCTTTAAGAGTTTATTTAATTATTTTGTTATGTTACATGGAATATGTGGATTTCAATAAACTTAATTAAACTTAATAAACAAAAAGAAACTTCTTTAGGATTAATTCACGTGTATTTTTTCAGCACCAGTCCAAATCCCCTACAGCAGCACTGCAGAGAAGAGCCAAAGAGAGACTGTGATGAGTATGAATGAGGACACCAAAGTAAATGTAACTGCAAAGGAGAGAAAATTCACATTATACCTGGACTAGATTGATCCTTCCAGTAAACCTGTGAGTTAACCTAAGATACCACATTGCTTTCAAAAGACATCTGATGATGAGTGATTCAGATCTTATACAAAGAAAAAAGTTACCAATTCGCCTCCTGCAATGGGGTTGTGCAGATTCACTGACCCCACCTAAAATTTATCAAGGCCTTGACATTTACATATATTTACTGTTTAAATGAGTAGGAAATGTCAGGATTCAATACCCTTATTTCACTTCTGTGTCATAACCCCAACCCAGTCCCCAATAAAAAAACAAAGTTCTGAAAGGTCTTCCTCCAGCTGCTTCAAGTCTTCCTATTTTTTGGTTGTTTTGCGGATCAGTGCCATTCTCTGAAACAAAGACATGATGAAGAATTAGAAAATCTCATCCGAACATCCCTGCACACACTATATGTACTGAACAAGTATTTACATTTCTTCTCCCACACAAATATATTTGTGCCATCCCCATATGTAAAGTGGTCTGAGAACTGACAGGAACCATAAATCAAAATCTTGACTCAAAGTTTGAACAAATATTGCTGAACAGGCATTAGGTCAGATTGTTGACGTAACTGCCTTCTTTTCTCTGAACTGGGAATCAAAAAGCATACTGATCTCATTGGGGAGCTCACGTTTTAATGAATGTCAGCATATAACCCACTCTTTAAACTAAAGAACAGATACTGTATGTCCCCTAAATAGAATTAAACTGTACAGTTATTAGGACAGTTTCTTCAGCAGCATTAATAAATGAGATTGTAGTAGTCAGTATTAAATATTGATTACTTCAATGCAATTGTTAATTACAACTGCCTATCCTCCCCACTGATAGCTGGTGTGTGGTGAGCGTTCTGGCGCACTATGGCTGCCGTCGCATCATCCAGGTGGGGCTGCACACTGGTGTTGGGGGAGAGGAGTCATCCATGACCTGTAAAGCGCTTTGAGTGGAGTGTCCAGAAAAGCGCTATATAAGTGTAAGCAATTATTTTTATTAATATTAACTAAAAATTACAAATGTAAATGATAACTTCCGTGTAATTTTGTTCCCGAGGCTGTGATCAGATGATGAGGATAGGAACAGATATATTAAAAATGTGAGTTATGTGCCTCAGAGGAGTGCCACTTCACAAGTCAGTCAGAAGGAAACCAGAAGGTCTATATTTCTTAAACACTGCTGACACCCTGGGGACTAAAATGTGAGCACAAAGAGAAGCTGACCTGTTTGTGGGCCTCTGTAGTGCAGGCCTTTTTATAGGGCCGGATTTCATCTGATCCAAAGCCTGGGATCCACATGTTCCACTGACGCTCTACAGGGAGAAATCACAACAAAGACAAGGAAGGCATCAGAGCTGAACAACCTAACTCTCCTTCCCTTCCTGGCAATGGGCTTTCCAGTGAATTTTCTGATCAAAATAGTCTTGTAAACATAAAGCAAAATCCAAAGCCCACAAGAGTGGACTAACCAAGGTTACTTTGCTCCAAGCAACAACAAATGAACAAAGTACCGCCAGACAATTGTGGTTCATAGTTTATAATACCTTTAAAAAATATTACATATTTCTAAAATGCAACCTTCCAAATATCTTGAAAGGTCACTTTCACATTCAATACAAAACATGAAAGAGAAGGTGACGCAGTCCGAAAGGCAAGGGTAAATATACACAGCACCCAAATGAACAGGAGCACTGAAGGAAAAGTCACAGCACAAATAGACAAAATATCCACAGAATACAGAAATGCACTTCAAAAACGAAAAGTGTTTTAACCCAACAGGGCCTTGATTAGGGAAGAATGAAGTAACAAACAATATCTGTGTTTTTCTAACATACCTCAGTCAAATGTGTTTGCATTACTCAACTAGTCAAGACAATAGTGAATTACATGGCAATTTTGATGTCAAATTGAAGTTAATAGCAATATTATCTATTGACACCTAAAGAAGCCTCCATAGCCAAAACGTTGTCTCTTCTCTTTTCAGCACGGAATACACCTTTACCTGTTCCTTTGCAGCCTACACATGCTGACGCAGCTCCCTACTTATCTACGTTGTTTACTTTAATAACCAAGACACCTGTGAACAGTTATTAACAATTATTTTCTTTGTTAAAATGTAAAAAAAGACATATGGCTTTTAAACCATACTTCAGTCTGTATCCAACTCTGGGTCTTGGGACCTAGAGCATCCCAGAAAAAAAAGAGTTTTACCTCAAACTTGGCAATGGGGACAACTGACACCGTCATACCATGGATTTACGGATTACGGCCCTGCAGTTCTCGAATCAACACTAAATTGACTGTAGATGTATTCATAATCACTCATTTGAAAAAAAAAAAGACAAAAGGCTCCATTTTCGTGCTAAAAAAAGGCGCTTAAATTTACAATGACTTAACAAGAATGGAAAGATTATAATCCTTAATGATCATTTTCACAGCTTTTAAAAGCTAACTTGTTACAGCAGCATGCTCTTAGAAGGCCCAATGCAGTGACACTATATGTAATATAGTGTATCTATATCTTTCTAGTATCATCAGTCTTCAAGTAATCTGAACCACTGACATGAATAAGAAGGGATACAAGAGGTGATACTATAAGAATAAAAAGCAGGTTGGCACTGTCCCTCACAGTAACATCTGGTGGCAGCTGTCCACTTACCCAAGTGCAGCTGCACATCTTTCACCTCCAGGGTGTTGGACTTGCGATGACGGGCGAGCTGGCAGGCGGCAGTCACTACACTCTCAATGAAATCATCTGCAATCTGCAGCAGCATCTATGTAATGGGTCACAGAGATTAATCAGTGGCAGTGGCACTTCCCAAGGGCAGTACAAGAGATTCCGGCTAGAAACATGCATTCTTCAACTCTGGATTCAGAGTATCTGTATCAGCAAGAAGACATTTATCATGATGCCCTGCCATTTAGAAAATCTACCAAACCCCCGGTATCTTAATCTAACTTGTTCCACGTATTATCTAAAACCAATTTGCAATACAAACCAACAGAACCAGCATTAAAGACCAAGGAAAATCAAAAACACAATAAGATGCAGTGAAAGCAAAGGGAGCATCTGAATGAAGTTAAGCAGGTGTGAGCCTGGATGTGAGACCTAAGGTTACTGCTGGAAGAGGTGTTGGTGGGGCAAGTAGGGGGCACTCGCCCTGCAGTCTGTGTGGGTCCTAATGCCCCAGTACAGTGACAGGGACACTATACTGTAAAAAGGCACTGTCCTTTGGATGAGACGTAAAACCGAGGTCTTGACTCTCTGTGGTCATTAAAAATCCCAGGTCCTTTCTTGAAAAGAGTAGGGTTTTTACCCCAGTATCCTGGCCATACGTCCCATTGGCCTTTACCAATCATATCATGGCCTCCTAATAATCCCCATCTATGAATTGGCTTCATCACTCCTCCCCACTGAGAGCTGATGTGTGGTGAGCATTGTGGCGCACCATGGCTGCCATCACATCATCCAGGTGGATGCTGCACATTGGTGGTGGTGGAGGAGAGTCCCCATAACTTGTAAAGTGCTTTAAGTGGAATGTCCAAAAAAGCTCTATATAAGTGTATGCAACTATTATCACTATTAATATACCAAGACTTTTCAGCTCCACCATCACCACAAAAGAAACCAACTTTAATGAAACCTGACTGCTAACACATGCAATCTTACAACTTTGTCTGAAACTAGTCTTACACAGGCACATGGATGGGACTCACCTCCTCCACATCTTCATCCAGCTGCTCGTTGGGGTCAATCTCTCTAACCAGGTCCTGCAGCTTCTTCTTGCTAAGCACCTGGATGTAGGACACAAGCACAGCTTACTCATCCAACTGCAGATGCTCCTCATTGTCACTTTGTGACTACATACTATAAAAAGGCTCAGGAAAAAGATGCAGGGACAGTTCTCTAGCCTTTTCTAGTACAGAACACTGAAATTTGATAGTGGGTTAATGCCTAAAAAATAATTTCCAAGACATACAAAAACAATGCAACATCATCATGAGCCAGAAGAGAGATTCCTGTCTGTCATGTCTGTCCTGTTACACAGTGGCTTAAACATTTGAGAACCTCATCTGGCCATTTTTAAATATGCCAGTGGATCACTTCCTGGCAAATAATGATATGTTAAGGAACTTAATCTGAAGGCTGCCAGAAAGATAGAAGAAATTAGAATCCCCCTACACACACAAAAACCATGGCAGAGAAGTATCAAAACCCATGCGTAACACATTAAGCAGTGATAACAGACTGGGAAGGGGTACCTGTGTGCCCTCGGGGCTCAGTCTTCCAGGTACCTGGGTATTTGGGACTTTGCCCGGTACCACAGCTGCAGTGCTATTGGCCATGCTGGTGGAGAGAGGAGGGGTGGCAGAGGGCTCGGCTTTCACAGTGGTGGAGAAGTTAGAAAGGTTGGTTAAAGCCTGTGGCTGGTACTGGGTCATAATCTGCTGGGCTTTGGCCTTTAGATCATGAAGTTTCTCGAGGTCTTGAAGCTGTTTGGAGTTGTAAGGACCAGGTCCAATCAGCTGCAATTAAAAATGAAAAAAAAAAATCTGTAAACAGTGATATATCTTGGTTTAAAAATGGGAAGGTCTGAGGCTTCCCAGAAACATTATATAGGTTTAAAGACAAGCTGGTCCAAAGCAGCAGGGGGCAGTGATTAACTAAGAAAGCAGGGCAGTGTAGCATGTCAGCATTTTGCAGTGTTGGGGAGTATATAAAGAGTAAAAACATACTCTTTAGTAGAATAATGTGTGGGTGGAAGTTGGTGTTCCTATTGCGTATAGTGGGATCCTTAAAAACTCATGCTGGAGTCTTGAGAAACAATACAATAAGAAATAAAAGTAACCAGGCATAAGAGAAGACTTTCATAGCTGGTGTGACCATTCTGAAGCCCAATAAAGAAGAGTTTTTCAGAGCTATGACAGCACTACCCTGTGAACACGTGACACTGGAAGGAAACATTTTCTTTACGATTGGCAAATAGTCATCAGAAATTAAATGACCTCATCAACAGGTCACCGCATGAGTCGAATGTCTTTCAAAAAATTGCTGCCAAATTTCCTAACAAGAAAATAACAAAACTACTGTTGCCATTTAGTAAGGCAGGATTAAAGTAGACAGGAGGTTGCTGGTGAAAGCTGTTCACTTAACAGACCTTTACAATAAATAAGCAAGTAATAGGTTTATTCCATGCTGAAAAAAAAGAAAGAAAACAACGTTTTGGCCATGGAGCCTTCTTTAGGTGTGTGGAGCCGCCTTCTCTTTTCAGCATGGAATAAACCTATTACTTGTTCCTTTGCAGCATACGCATTCTGACGCAGCTACCCACTTGAACTACTAACAATACACGATCAATCTGTTTTATAAATAATTTTAAATGCCACAAATACCTTATAATTGCTATAAATATCTTACAAGAATACAGAATAACTTAAGGAAGAGACCTTTGAACTTTCTGCTCAAACACACAAATAAACCTACATAAAACTACAAATGAGAGGTTACTATTGGCCCCTTTGTCTTGCTTGGTAGGCTCACTAATAGATAACCATTCCAAGGTCCAACAAACCATACAGTTGTTTGTTGAATGAAGCCAGGGTATCACCTTCAGAATCACCTGAAAATCATGAAGGTGTGCACTTAGATGGCTTTGTCAATGCATTTCTTGATTTTGAATATTTGTGCCAAGACCTTGCTTAGTCTTCACTGGTCATAACTAAAACGATGAAGTTTTTTTTTTACCTGGAGTAGAACATTCCTCTAAATCCAAGAACACATCTATTGTTCTCCTCTGCACTGATTCCAGAGAATCAATAATTTTGAAAACTGTTTGGCTGTTAAAACAACAAGAGTGAATAATGAATATAAATGCATCCTACAAAGATAACCAGGTAGAACATACTGTATGCTTGGGCCAAGTGAGTGAGTTATGCATTGTAAGCTGATGCTGCACTCACAGCAACCTCACACAGCAAAGGTCAGCTCACACAGCTACTGTACTTACTGCTATCTGAGTGTCTAGATCCCTAATAACATCAGCTACAGCTGAAGGCCCAGTAATAGGGGAGGCCATTTCCACATGCTACTGTACCTGGAAACAAACAGCATGTTACTGTCACTGCACTGTCAATGCCAGAACAGCACACAGGTATATGAAAGGCTACATAAGAGTAGAGACCCTTCAGCGACATGTCTCTGCTCCTGTTCTAAGAATCACGCAGGAATGCTACTGCATGACACTGGCAACACACAGCTAGTTTGCCTTTGGTGGTGGTGATGTGGGGGTCATGTTTATATCACCATATTTTAAACCTTATCTCTTAACCCAACTGTTTAAGTAACATACAAGCAGCCCTCCAATCTGCCATTGTTCTGTCTGAGGTCTGCTTGGTGATACATTCCTGGCACCTAACTAATCTTTTTAAATTAATCAGTGAAACAAGTTAAGACTCTCAACTCACAGGGCCTCTTTAAAAAATATTTCAGTTGAAACTAGATCCTAACTGTAGCCCTCCTGATGCTGCTCCAGCAAGCTAAATGCAAACCAAAGCAATGCTACAAAGACATTCCGCGAGGGCTGGGGTTAAGAACAGTTGTTTTACGGCTCTGAAGTCTAACTTTGAAACTAGTTACCTTACAAATAACACCTTTTCAAAAGCACCGATGGTATTTGAAAATAGTTCCTAAAAAATATTTAAAAGCTCAACTGGAAACCCCGAAGAACTGATTTGGAGAGCTGCTACTCCAACATGTACAGTAACTACAGTCTACCAGTATTTACCTTCCCTTAAACGGACAACATTACAAGCAATAAGAGAGAACTCTGGAAGTAGCAGTGTGTACCACCTGTACTCATAAAAAGTAAAAGAGAGAAAAATAATCAACATACGATATCAAGTGTATTATTGGTCATTTGGGTGAAACATCCCTAAAGCATTTTACTTCTATTGTTTAAATTAGCTGAAATGGAAAATAATTCTCTCGATGTCAAAGTGGAGCCTAATTGCAACGACGAACACGGTAAAACTCACGTTTCTCAACAGTAATAACGGACCGATAAGCTTGTCCAACCAGAAGTGGTAAAGACGACATACATCATAGAAACATCTACGAAAATAACATCCAAATTAAAACTGCAATACACAAAAGAGGCATACATGCACAAAGACAGCGATAGGTTTTAATTGAACAATTCTCCCCATTACTGAAGGATTGCCAAAAAAAGTGGCGTTCCTTTGACATCTAAGAAATGTGCGATGCATTGTAAATTTGTTCGAAATAGTGGTTTACGTTACGGTAGTCTCGACAAATAAAACTATTTATTTCTCCCACATACCAGCGGACAAAATTAATCAAGATCTCCAAATCGTCCGTCACACATCGGTCCTGTGTATTTAATGTTTCTACTGATTCTTCTACTGTCAAACCTATAACCAAACCGGACTGAGACAGCTCCGATCATGCGAACTGAGTAAAGCACGAAACACGTCAAACAGACATTTTTACAACGCCAAATGTTAGACTTTTTACATAATTTTAAAAAGGAAGGAGGCATTACGCTCCTTATGAAGCCGAAATAAACACGGGGTCCGCTATTTCGAATAGACGGTTAACTTGTATCTACTTAAAAGTAATTTTCCAAACGTTTCCCGCCGTCCGCAGTGCACACGGATTCACTTCTGAATTCGAATATAACTTACATTCCAATCTCAACTCTATCTCCCCATGTTTCACGCCTTATTTCTGGCTTTTAGATTATTTAGATGCCACCGACGTCGAACACCGTGACTCCCAGTATCAGCTTTGTGTTTCTTTGAACCAACTTCCTGTCTCTCCGGAATTACTTCCGGTGCCACTTGACCTCCCTAACGTCCATTCTGATTGGTTAATGGCGGGCGTTAAGGCTGTATCCTGTAACCAGAAGAAATTACTACGGTGCTTTTTTCGCTATATTATCGATGATGTACTCTTCACACATACTATTGGAAATAGTTTTAGTTTTAAGTGCGATTGTTTATACGCTGCATTCTCCTGGTCTTTACTCCTTGATGTCCTTGATTTCGTGTTAAACCAGGCATTGTCAACCTTTCTTTCCACGTCTCTTTTTATATCCTCTGAATTAGACATCCAATCAAAACAAAAAACAGAATACATGTTCTGATTCTAATGTGATATAGTTTATAGTGTTACAAAGAAAACGGTTGTTTCTTGGAACTTATTTCAAACTGAACTGCGAGTGATTAGAACTCCCCTTAAGTGCCCTTGGAAGACTCCGCCGGAAAAGATAAACTGTTTAATAAACAAGCTAAAATTCCCCTTGTTTCTAAAGAACTAGGAGGTTTCCTGGACATAGTGTTGCAAACTGGACCAGAATCAACAGATCATTTTGAGACAAGACAGGCCTTACATGTTACTTGTTACTGAACCAAACTAACGTGCAAACTAAGTAGAACTACATTTTATTACTTTATTTTTGTCAGAGGAAATAAATCATATCTGCAATTTGGGTGATTGCAAAATGAAACAGTGCAAATAAAAAAATATTGAGATTCCATAATTAATATATTTATTAACAGTGTCTCATGATAATTAAGCAAATAATTATCCCCTGATGAACAAGAAGGGATAAGAATACTTATTCTTAAGAATTCTTATACTTAATAATATATTTATATTATTTTTATACTATTAATACTAAGTTATCGCTGCTAGTCTTCATAGTTGTAGTTCTTAAAATGATCAACATTACTAACAAATATAACAGGATCACAAAAATGATAGTTTAAACGTTCACTGATACTGTGCGACCGACAATCTTGACTGAAGCCCCGCCTCAGAATTGTATGGTATCCCATGATGCCTCCATATTTGCATACAACTCTTCTTCGTTTTTTTTTTTTAACAATGATATAGAAATGGCAGTATTTAAGAAAACACCATTTTGGCTTCAACAGCTGTATCTACAAATAGTTGTTTTGCATACAGTGTGATAGAAACACTAGTTTTGAGCTCTCGCACAATAGTCACCGCAAACCGCTTACTCATGCAAGGACAAGGGTACTCCACCTGCGGAAACATTCGGTAAAAAGGGCTTGTGCTGTGAATTGCACAGGGACGGGGTGGGGATCTCGCCCCGTCTCTGCGGAATCGATATCAAGAGATTTCGGAAGCACAATTTTTGTGATTTTGGGCTGCTGATGATCGTTATTCTTGGCGCCCTACATTACTGTGTTAAAAACAGATGGAAGTAGTATCATTAATTATATGTAGTTGTGGAGCATCAATATTTGTGATGTGAGACGCTTTGCTGCTTAACCACAGGGTGTCGACATACGCACGTGCAAGTAGAAACAGATCTTCCTCAAATAATTTCAACCGATAAAAATTGAAGTTTTCTAAAATGATGCGTAGTAGTATACACTATACTACTTATTAAATATTCAAGTTAAAAAGTTAACGGACTGCTAAATGCTATTTCTCTGTATAGCAGCACAGGGTATTTGGTAGAATTCCGGTCTTAGGGTGCTAACTGCATGAAATTTGAATGTTTTTCCCATGTTTGTGTGGGTTTTCACTAGTTGGTTTTATCAGGTCGCTCTGGTTTCCTCCTACAGTCCAAATAAATAATAATAATAATAATTCCTAACACTTACATAGCACTTTTTGGAGACTCTACTCAAAGCACTTTACAGTAATGGGGACTCCCCTCCACCAATGTGCAGCCCCACTTGAATAATGTGATGGCAGCCATAGTGCACCAGTATGTTTACCACACACCAGCTATCAATGGGGAGGAGAGCAGAGATTAAGCCAGTTCACAGAATTGAGAGAGACCTCCTAATACTCCTCATGTATGAATTGGCCAGGATGCCAGGGATACCCCTACTCTTTTCAATCAATCAAAGTTTATCAAATGCACAAAAATACAGCATGCAGCAATAAGTAGCCAGCAGCCATATCACCCTGCACCTCACAACTGGCAACCAACTGAAGCTCAGCAGGTGTGAGCCTGGTCAGTACCTGGATGGGAGAACCTCCTGGGAAAAACTAAGGTTGCCAGCAGGGGGTGTTCACCCTGTGGTCTGTGTGGGTCCTAATACCCCACTGTAATTAAGGGGACACTATACTGTAAAAAGGCACTGTCCTTTGGATGAGACATAAAACCGAGGTCCTGACTCTCTGTGGTCATTAAAAATCCCAGGGCATTTCTCGAAAAGAGTAGGGATGTAACCCTGGCGTACTGGCCAAATTTCCCATTGGCCCTTACCAATCCTGGCCTCCTAATAATCCCCCTCTATGAATTGGCTTCATTACTCTGCTCTCCTCCCCACTGAGAGCTGTTGTGTGGTGAGTGTTCTGGCGCACTATGGCTGCCGTCGCATCATCCAGGTGGGGCTGCACACTGGTCGTGGTGGAGGGGAGTCCCCATTACCTGTAAAGCGCCTTTAGTGGAGTGTCCAGAAAAGTGCTATATAAGTGTAAGCGATTATTATTATTATTAATTGCTGGTAATGAAATGTCTTTTCTACGAGCTCACTGGGTGGGGCTAAAAAAGTTACAAAATAAAGTTAAATCCTAATCGTGCAATAGAAATTGAATAAGATAAACTCAATATAAACAGAACTGCTATATGTCCAGGGTGTATGCAATACTTTATGTCCAAGTAGTGCAGTATGCCAAATACAATAAAAACTGTATGTCCATGTCCATGGTTTCCTGAAGAAACTGCAGCTTGGCTATTTAGCAGTCTTATTGCCAGGAGGTAGAAGCTGGGATGACTGGGGTCCCCAGGAATGGACCTGGACGTCCTAAGACATCTAGCTGAGTAGATATCCTGGATGTTTGGTAGCTCTCAGTCGGTGATGAGCTGTGCTGACTTCTCCACCCTCTGCAGTACTTTGCCGATTTTTAATGATATTTTCTTACGAATCATACTGCTTCCAACAAAGTGTTATTTCTCATGATTACTAAGGGATGTGTAAAATTTAGCCTCCCAAAATATCCCCCTCAAAAGCACCGTGTCATTTTTAGCATGGGATTTCAATAACAAACAGCGTCGCTACCGCCATCCTGAAATTTCTGCTGTGGACGGAAATGAAAGACTACAAAACCTGAAGTTGTTTCTGGCAGTGTTCAATGAGTCCAAATTCAGACTTGTCCTTTTCTGTTTTCTCCTTTTCTTTTCCTTCTGCAGAATGGAATCTGCCCAAGGTGCTACTAAACCTTATTAGCTGTTATCCATGTTTTCATATCTGGACAGTGCGTTTTAGAGACTAGTTAAGATCTGTTTCTCTGGGGTTACTATTAAATGTACGAAAGGTATGGCCACAGCAAACAAATTAAAGAGTGCCTCTGGGCTCTGGAGATGAATGCAACAAGTTTTATAATAATCTCATCACTTTGTTGAAGCACAGAGCAAACTCTTAGTCATATATAACTCCACAGAACATGCACAAAAAGAGTGGGGAAATTAGGTGTGTTGAGGGTTACATCATCTTAAAAATAGCTTCACACACTGAGTCATTTATTTTTAATAAGAACAGAAAATTGTTTTCAATACCATATTTTTGTTTAAAAAAAGATCAAACAATCTCACAATTTGCTCGTAAGTCATTGAGATTTATTTTTTATATTTCATTTTTTTTCTCTGCAAGGCCAGAAAGTGCACACTCTTGCCCGTGTGTCCAATTCAAGTGTAAATGTTGTAAGTGCAGTGTGCAGTGAGATTAAAAAAAAAAACACATTTTATTGCAGCTCAGCCTCAATCTTTCCCTTCATTTTGTACTGTGTTCAATTATATTCGAGATAAAAAAAATGTTTCAAAATGGGATTGCAGTAATCTCTCATACCTGGGATCGATGCTCGATGGTGTTTAAAATGGGCACATATGAAATGTGATTTGGATATCTGAAGCACTTCATTATACTTTTGTTGAGTAACTCCTAACACTTGTGCTGTACGACCCAGATTGCCCAAGATCTTATGAAATGTGTTCCATAGAGGCTCCCCAAAGTTCAATCTGCAAAGAACCAGACCAGTCCGCAGGCCTGACGGGCCAGTTTGCATGGTTTTGTTTTTGGCTTTTCTGACATGCTTTGGTACAACATTGGTACCGTTTCATGGAAATGCTTGGCACAGACCTTCTCCACTCCAATCCTTGAGCCTCCACAACATCGACTGGCTGTACTTAACAAGCAAGTGCAAATTCAAAGACACCTTTGTGAACTACTGGAATCCTCCTCTTCCAGTCTGGACCTGTCTGCTCTCGATTGTATTCTAGGTGTTCTCTACTGCCACAAAGCTGGGGATTAAATGAGAACATTATTGTGGTGATCCACGAATTACAAAAGCTTAACATGGCCTTATTATGGCACAAAACTGTAATACAAAAACTCTTGTATGCTTTTTGAAAACCCTGACACTTAACTGAACAAGGCATGTGTTCAATGTATATGATGAACAAGTATCTTTTAACCAATGGCCATGATGTGCCATTATAGTCAAATGGTTGCTTAATACAAATTTCATTGTGTGCCTCCTTTCACAGATACTGTACACCGGAGTCATTGAACTCCTGTCTGTGATTGGTGATCAAAGGGAGTCTTATAGTGGATCCTTAAAATAAAGTATAACAGTAACATATTGTGTGACTGTGGCCTCCTAAAGGGACCTTCACTGCTCTCTGATTGAGTCAGTGTATTCATGTTATCAGTATCGGTGAGGATACTCGCTGCACCTCTCTTATCAATTCCTTCCAGATCACAGGAGTGGCAGTAAGTGATCAGCAAGGCTGTGGTATTACAGCACATTTGAAGGTACAGCACATCAAGCCAGATTGGTCCATTACTCAACGTGCTGTCATCACAATGGCTCATGATACATGTGGCCATGGGAGTCGCTGGGCACATGGCACGCTGGTTGTGGCTCAGCATATACCACGCTGGCTTTACGTGGGCCATTGGCAGAGGTCTGGGGAGTGCAGTAGCCGCTATGTCCTTGCTGTGCTGGCCGGTCATACTGAGGCTCCATGGGAGAGTCATTGGACGGCTCTTGGCTCACGAAGGGCCTAGGAGCCTGTGCTGGGGGCACCACTCGGATCACACAGATGTTCTTCTTGGGGCCCGCGGCGAAAAGGTCTGCAGACTGCTCGCTGAAGGGGGTGGCATATTCAGGCTCGGGGGGCAGGGGCTCAGCGTATTCGTGGATTTTCCCCGGGACGTCGTAATGGTTCAGGATGAGTGGGATTGTGTAGCCCTCATCAGCCGCAGGACGGAAAGTGGAGCCCAGCTTCTGTCCTGCTGCTATGAGATCCGGCTCAGCATAATCTGGGGACAGAGGCATGGGGAAAAGAGAGGATGTGAGGACAGGAAGAGTACAACATGCTATAACTAATGGTCTGAGAGATGTGTTTCCTTTACAGTTCCATCAGAATAAAGACACATGTACATTTGTAAAAATCCTGACATAGACTAACTTAGGCAGTTGCAACTTTGAAAAGAAAACTTCCTTGTTGCCTTGTAATGGGGAAGGATCCAAATCCCACTGGAGGTCATTTTATCATAGATCATTGAAGCAGTGCGCTCTAGGGTTCATGCTGTGCTTGCTGTGCTCATATCAGCAGCTTGATAATGTAACTGGCACACAAGGCAGCTGAACTTGTACCTGGGCCTGCTGTCAGAGCCTTTGGAACTCAGGATAAATCATTTTAGAAGTATACCTGTCAATCCAGTTTATGGAATCATTTAGCTACACTGCTACCACTCTGGTATCTTGTTACCACTCTATATCTTGATATACTGTACACATATATATTTTATAGATGAGTATTTTGTACAGCTCAACATTTTTACTCAAGTAATGTTGGTGAAATACCCTTGAGCAAGGCATGACAGCAGCATCCCACCTGGGATTTGAACCCACAACCAACAGGTTACGACTCCACAACCCTTAACCCCCAACTGCTGTCAACCGAAGGTCATCCGATCTGAGAAGCTAAGTAAGGCGAGGCCTGGTCAGTATTGGGTAAGCTCATGACCTGCTGCATGACCAGGTTGCTGTTGTAAGTGGTACTAGTAGGTGTCCCTCTGGGTCAGAATTTCCTAACAGTTCCCTGGTATGTTGTCAGGAGGCAATATGCTGTAGGAGATGCCATCCTTCACACAGGATTTTCGACTTTGGTCCTGTTTGGTCATTAGAGATCTCATGGTTCTCACTGCTAGGAGGAATTGGGACATTCACCCTCATGTCCTGGCAAAATTCCACCCTTAGATAGAACAGTCAGGGCTGGCAAACATTCCCCTTTAATTCATGGCTGGAGTATTTTTTATTATTAATTCATTTTTCTTCTGCTTTTCAATTGATTGCTCTTAGTCAATCAAGCTTATTGACAAACACTTCTTCACATCTTAGTAAAACTACATTGAGCAGGTACAGCATGTGATGATAATCAAAATGGTAAGTCTGATAGCCCATCAGCTGATACATCACCAGACTCTATCTGCTTTGATCTCAAAGTGGTTTATGTTAAGCTTTTGGTGAACTACTGCAACTGTTCAATTGGAAACCAAAATACAGCACCTCTTCTTGCAGTATGACTGCCTGACAGGCAGCCCCTTATTCCCACTTTACCTAACAGGAAGCCTTAAAGGCTAAGTAATTTTACTTGCAGAGGCTGAGAGAGGGCCCCGATTGTTGTAGCTACTGACCTTCTGTCCTATTTATCATTGCGTCCCTTATTGAGGTCCGAGCCTCTCTCTATACAGCCAGTGTCTGGGGGGGAACACTGCGTGCCTCGTGTGTGTGTCCTTTATTGGGCTCTAATTAAAGGCCCCTTTCAGAGCAGCACTGGGTGAATAAAGAAATGTTTATGCTACTCCAGGGTAATTGACGGGGCTGGGAGAGAACAGGCAGCCCAGAGAAAAGCTGTTCACTTGTCAAACTTCGTTTTTGTCTCGTTCAATGTCCAGACCAGGGCTGGGAGACAGAGAGGTGCTTAGAGTCCAGTCCAGACTATACTGCACGACTTGGCTGCTTTCCCTTGTCTGTCTCTTTCCAGTCCTTACTTCAATAGGTCTAATGTACAGCAGGTCACCTTTTGTGACAAGAGCCCAGGTATTTAAGAAGTGACAGGAAATCCGTTGGGATTTAATCCCATAGACTGTCATTCATCAACAGATTGTCAGTAGTGGAACCAGTATTTAATGCCAAAACAACAAAGATCTACATCTGTGCTTGAGTACACATCTTCAGGAAGTATAGTATTCAGGGAGTAGTGTTATTAGCTATTCAGGTGACCTTAAATTATTGCTCATCGTGGCTAATATATCACAATTACCAACACCACATTCATTCAAAGGTTCCAACAGCATATACCCATCTTTCAGCATTGCAAAACACAGTTCTTTGAGGAAGAGCAAGCATTTTTTGCCCCTGAAATGACAGTAGGATATTTCATACTATACTGACAGGTGTACATGAACGTTTTAAAAGGTTCTTCTCACTAGATGATTGATGCCAACGGACAGCTGAGAGGCAATGGCAGCTCCTGAACTAATTCCTCACCTGTCAGAACAGCTTTGGCCAGGTCTTTGTTGGTGTCCCCCCTCTCCAGAGGGTACGCAATGAGCTCCGATTCAGATCGAGGCAGGTTACCGTGGAAGCAGTCTTGAGTCTTTCCCGCTGAACCTTGACAACCTGGAAAAGGAGATCACAGGAAGATGCAGCTTTGAAAAAAAGTTCTTGCTGCCTTGGGGAGGGATCAAAATCCCACTGGAGCTTTTGACAGGATAATTAACACTCTTCTCACAGTAGCAAATAAAATAACATTTATTCACATGCCATTATGTTATTCACGCTGGGTTATTAACCCCAGTGTCCTGGCCAAATTTTCCATTGGCCTTTACCAATCATGGCCTCCTAATAATCCCCATCTCTGAATTGGCTTCATCACTCTGCTCTCCTCCCCACTGATAGCTGGTGTGTGGGGAGCGCACTGAGGCACTATGGCTGCAGTTGCATCATTCAGGTGGGGGTGCACACTGGTGGTGGTGGAGGGGAGTCCCTATTACCTTGGGAAGCGCTTTGAGTGTAAAGTCCAGAAAGTGTATAAGGAATTATTATTATTATTATTATCATCATCATCATCATCAGCAGCAGCAGCAGCAGCAGCATCATCTTCATCATCATCGCTGGAAGAGCAGTGTCCTTTCCTTCTCTCAGAGGAAATGTAGGCCAGCAGCTCTCCCATGAAATGATTTTACAGGAAATCGATGAGAAAAACAGCCTACCTTTTACTAAGGAGCACTTCACTTCAGCAGCATTTTTTCTGGAAAAAAAAATTAAGAAATGGTTAACATGAGGAGTCCTGGCAAGCTGCACAGCTGCAGGTAATTGAATCCGTGCTGGTTTGAAGTCAGCTGGGAATGTGTTTGCCTGCAGGAATCAAGTCCCTTTCCTTTCCCTTACCTTCTCTTCCAGCAGATGCCCGCCAGCAGCAGACCCACACAGACTGCAAGAGCTACAGCTGCCCCCACCACCACTATCACGGGCCGACTGGACTCTGTGGGAATACTGGGATGTGAGACTGGCAGAGAGCAAACACCAGGCACAGCGCCCACTACGTGACACCTCAGTTGACACCACTCATTTTCCAGCGTGGGCGAGTTGCTGGCAAATCGAACACTCCACAGCAGAAAAAATCAACTGGGCAAACTTTTCCCCACAGTGGAACATCAGGCCCATGGTCTCAGAATACATGCACAGGATCTGATGTGAGTTCTGAGGTTTTTATTTCTATCAATACTGAAGGAAAAAAGCTGAAGTTACGCAACAGATGAGACTGTCACTATAGTTTTCTTTATAAATGTTATAAAATGTTTTTTATTTCTAAAACACTCCTTTATTTGTCATTCTGCGAGTACTTTCATATGAGCACGACAGTAAAAATAGGGTTTACCAGGGTTTATCTTTGCCTTTTAAAGATGCACAGAGGGGGAATGAATGTTTCTCTTTTCATGGAAGGTGGTGTCAAAATCTAAACAATTTTAAACCACATTCTCCTGGTTAAATCCAAAAATAGGACACGTTTAGGGGGCTGTTCAATCAAACCACAGCCGTCAAACTTCAGTTACTGGTTTTTCATCCTGTCCTTCAGATCTTCTATGTGGTGACAACATGCGTCCATTCGTCTGGTCTGTGTATTGCACTCTGCTCCAGCAAGACTGGGCTCTGACCTGAGTCTGGAGTCTTCTTGATTAAGGGGCCCTTGGATGTGGTCACTTCCTGAGGTGACATTGCTGTGCTGGTCACTCCTGGGGGGCTGTAAGCTGTCCAGAGAAGAAAGTATGTTAACAAACTGCCCAACACACAACCGTGCTTCTCTAATTCACACAAGCACGTGGTTAAAAAAGTGAGTAAATGGTTAAAATTATTTTTTTCAATGATTTCCTGTTGGGTCTGACTCTAGTCAGCTCTGACTCAATGGGTCTAATGCACAGCAGGTTTAGTCAGATCCAACAGGAATTCATTGAAAAAAAGAATCACCATGTCCTCATTTCATACCTTCCCCTTTATCTAAAATAGTTAAGTTCATTTCTATGGCCGTATAACCATCTAAAGCGAAAGAACATTTAAGGGAAAACTGGGGGAAATTAAGCTTAAGAGGCCCTAAAAGGTTCCAATGGAGTTGTAAACATAGGACCCAAGGTGATTTTATACAACTTCCTGCTAAACTGCAAGTATTTTAACTCAAGAAAACTTCGTTTTCTTGCCTTGTTACTTACACAGCAGTTCTAATCCTTGTAAATTACTAATGACTGGAGTCTCTCACTATCGCTAATGAAGCAGACATACATGCCAAACATACACAGATAATTAGAATATCAAACGTCTAGGAATGCAAGAGTTTTATAGCTGTGGGTACTTCCAGTTCTTGTTTCCTGTTCTCTGTTTTCCACCAAAATGAAACTCGCCACAGCCTGAATGTAAAAACCAACAATTTGGGCACAGATTTAAAAGAAGATACCACTTAGTTCCTAAAAACAAGCAGTTTACATTGCAGGAACACACTTATGCAGTCAGTAAGAAGCTATTCTTACTTTTAAGGGACGTTTTCTCAACCTTTTTAAACATGTCCACATAACAAATGTACTAAAACAAGCACATAAATGCTGTACAGTGCAGTACAAAGGTAAATATAAATATGCTCTAGACACACACACAAGGGACTGGCTGGAGCTAGATTCTGGAGTGGATTAAAGGATTGCGGAGGTGAGCATACGCACATGGTGGCATCTCTCGGAGAGACTCACCGAAGGAGCGAGTCCGCAGCGCCGGGCACCCCAGCACACGCACCTGCAGGGCGGCCCTCCTGTGCCAGTCTCGAGGCCGGAGGAGAAGGTAGCGTGCCGCCACAGATGGGATGAGGCTGTTCTGCGTCTCGTGAATACTGTCCGAGTTCCCCTCGAACACCTGGCCGGGGCAGGGGGCAGGAAAGACAGCTTAGGGCAAGAAAGGGCAGTTCCGGTCCTTAAAAGCACATTTTGATTCAAAAGGAATAACGAACATGTTTCAGGCTGGGCTATGAAGAGGCCATTAAAGGCTTCTGTTATTGTAAATAAGGGGAACTGTGTGATGATGAATTAATTTTATAATTGGTGATGGGTGACAATTGCTGATTCCCACATGGGGTTTAATTAAGGGGTTTGTCTGATGCATAAAGCATGTGCGTGTTGATAGTGGTGGCTGGGTTGTTTGCAGAAGACTCATTGTACAGCTTCAGAGATTCTCTGCAGCTCAAGACCCCTTCACTGGACTGTACATCCTCGTGTGTTTTTGTATAATCCTGGGTTAGGGTCTGCCACAGAAGAAAAACAAAAGGGATATTCAACCTGCAGTTCTGGGAGTTTGCTCCATTGACTTTGATCTTATCTGTAATTGATAACAGATCAATATAGCAATTAAAGTGGTGGTTGCACCCAGGTGCTGCAGGTGAGTAGATTGAAGAGGAAGCATGGAAAAGAACCCCTACATTCAAGGAAAGAGTAATGCATCAGGGGGTTTACCGTAGTAGCAGAACCGGGAGATGCCACACTCTCAGCCCATCTTACCCTCTCTTCCTTACTGCCCACTGTCTTATACACTTTCCAGTGCTTGCGGTCTCTGCTGTAGTGGACAGTATAAGACTTCACATAGAAATCATTCCGGTCTTCTGAGCCCTTAGTGATGATACCTAGAAAAAAACTGAACCACCATTAGTACTGTCTTAAGAGCAGTTTTATTTGTACATTTTCAGCTTCGTCTATGAAATTTCAGCTTTTCATTTCATTCTGTAACACTATTCAGACATTTTGTGTTGGAGGCATGATGATTTACTTTCAGACCCGACAGGGTTCACTGTTTGTATTATTACTGCAAACAAACTTCCTAAGAAAGTGCTTGTAATTAAAAGGTCACGATGACTTTTCACACATGCTGCTTAATTTCGTAGTCCGTCCAGAAGCCTGGGGGCTTCTCCATTTAAAGTGATAACTATTGATTAATTAGCAGTTTTAATTTGTGCCTGCATGAGAGTTTGAATTAATTATCAAATGAAAACTTGCTTGAATGACTTCATTTGATCACAGAGGGAGGAACTGACTTGTTTAGCATTTAAAAAAAAGGGGGCTAAAAATTATACATTTAAAAAAATAGTAAGGTCTTAATGCACAATAGCTGTGATATCTGTAAAAGGTGAAGGACATACCTTTTAATTTAGAAAGTGCTCACATGTATTAAACAGTTGAAAATATCAAAATAAACAAATTATCACAGTCCATCTAGATTAAAAGGCAAGTTGTTTATTTGTTTCTTATTCTGAGTGCAGGAAAAATTTAAACTTGAAATCAAAGCACGTCATATCCATGCATACCCTAACCTGCCAAAATATTATGAATCCCCACCAAATAATGAGTATGGTCCCTGTGAGCAGCAGGGGCAGTTTGAACAGAAAGGGACATGTTTTATACCAGGTTAAGGAATACTTTCAGCCCAGTTCCATCCCACTTTTCAAGAATCACCTTCTGTTGAGGATATATGGAACTGAACTGCATTTTCCAGCTTTTCCACCAGTTTTCTACGGGAATGATATGTCTCATAAGTCTGTTATTAATGTCTGTTTCATTCTCCTCAAGCCAATAATGTATTTGCAGCCAGTGGGAGAATCTATTCATTTGACTGGGACTTCCCAAATTTTAAGCCAGGTAGGGTTCAGGTGTCAATGATAAAGACTGTAGACTCGATTGCGTGCCTGCTTTTTAAGAGAAGTCCATTGGTTTTGGGCAGTGAACAGACAGATTAATAGAAAGATGACAATACCAGCAGATAAACAGACCAGACAAACAAATGCAACAAATGCACAGGAAAATGGGCAGATGGGCCTTCTGACCTGTGATGTTGCTCCTGTCTCTCAGGTCTAGTTCGAGCCATGGATCTGCAGAATCACTCTTAGGTGCCCAGATGCTACGAGTGCCCTTGTTTGCTGGGGACCACACAAAATGACGGCCCAGGCTGTCTACTTCCTCCCAGTAGGAGGAAGCATTAAAGAGGAACACATGTAGCTCATCCTGGCACTCTGCAGAGAGGAGGTAGGGATCACAGTCACAGTTAGAGCACACTTACACATACTGTATAATAATCAGCATGCAGTGAGTATTCCGGTACTGACAATTTTGTGGAATTGCGTGATTCATTCTGAGGAATGTTCTCATATACTGACACCCGCGCACAATGCTAATGTAATGGTCTCTACACAAGAGTGGGCATTAATAAAAGGACACAGACCCCAGAATAAGCAACCATGCTTGATGTTCACAGCACTTTATTCAGACACTGATTTCCCACTGATGTCCCATGAGGGCACTTGACAAAAATCAGTTTATCACAGGAATCCACAAATCTCAAATGCTGTATCGACTGTAAGAAATAATAGCCGTATTTGCAGAGTTATGGCCCTCATTTTGGACAGGTCAGTGTTAACAGTCAAGCTCTCTTTCTTGTGAGGTCTTGAAACAGCCCCTTCAGCCTTACCTCTGCTAAAGACGAGCCTCTTCTCAGAGAGTGAGCCCCTGTCAAGAGAAAGAAGCACCAGGGGTATAACATTACTTATGATTTGCACAATTTCAGCGTCGATATGGAACAAGCACCTGCAGACTTGCAAAAGCCTGAAAATTGAACTCACGTTTTGGAAAGAACCCCGTTGGCAGAACTAGACTCGTACAGCGTTATGCTCTTCTCTCGGGACACAGTGATGGGACCCCCCAGCGAGTCGGAGATCACCCCCGCATGGACAGCAGCCTTGCAGAGTACGGAGGTCTGAGACAGAGACACGGGGGGTACCAGTGTCAGGGCACCTCTTCAGGTTTGACACACTGCGTCTATCTGCTGGACTGGGACAGATGTCATGAATTTGAACCTATGTATTTCGTAGAAAGTTAAAGTTTGAATTCCCATCTGTCCCCTGTGCAAACACTATTCCACAGAGCATGTAACTCCACTTTCTCCAGTCTACCCAGCTGTAAAAAGAGGTATTGGCATTTCTAGGGGTATATAAGAACTGACTATCATTCCATCTCCTAATCCTGAACTACTCAGCTTAAACATTACAGAAGCCAGGGTTAGGTCTGTCCTGATGAGCCTGTGGGCTAGAGTATGGGATTCTTATTAGTTTCCCATGAATGGAAAAGGTTGGTAACACAACACCTTATTGCTGCATATCAAGCCAGTTATTGAAGGCTGTTAGGGAACTGGGACACTGAGTGATACCCCCCAAAGAAACACTGGACTGTTTTTTTTGGACTTTAAGGAGAAGTTGACAAGCTTCCCAGTTATTTCTTGTATTACTAGCCGAGTATATTGTCTTGCATGTTCTGCCTCTGCGTCTCTTCCTGATCTCACTAGGTAGCTATGGGGAGGTTTGAATGGAAACAGAACTGATGGACTCACGTCTCTGTAGCCCTGGACAGCTTGGCCCCAAATGTCCCCACTCACATCCCGGCAGCCCACAGGACAGAATGCGCTGGAAAACAGCAAGCAACCAGAGATCAGCAACATTCACAGCCTCTCTACTTCAGGCAAAATCAGACTACCATTCCAAAGGGCCCAACACCACCCATAGCTGGGTCCCCAACAATCCACTGGATCCCCAAGAAACAAGGAGGGCATTGCAACAGAAGCACAGCAGTATCTTGACAGCATTTTCCATGAAATTTGAGGAAAAACAGCAGTCGATATGTTTGGTGCTATGTAGAATAAAGTAATCTCCACTCACCTGACCTGCGGTGTGCTTAGATGGGTTCCTCTCTCCATGCAGGAGATAAGGTCTGTAACCAAGCAAAGAGTGTTGGGTCAGTAAGCGAGCAGCTAGTTCAACTGGAAAAAGGAAAATGGTGGATACGTTTTTTCACATGGAAACGTCTGTACTCAAAACAAAGCTCAACCTTTTTTGAACCATGAAGTGGAAAGATGAGGATCACTTGACTCCCAGGTGCCTCTTTCAGCTGGTGAACCTTATTGAAAGGAGAAGGTAGGTGATGTGCCATTAAGGATAGTAGAGCAGTTTTATTTATAAAAGGAACAGCTAGGGGCCAGGACTATGAAAATGTTACTTGCTGAAACATTCTTAGAGGATTATTTTTTATAAAACTTTTTGGATGAACCTTCAAAATATTGGCAGTAAGAGGATGTGGGGATTGATCTGTCCCGTGACGTATCAGGTCTCGGCTCCCTTCCCCCTTCTCCTGCCCCCTCCATCCCAGAGCTGCTATCCATACAGGGATGACTCACAACCCCTACCACAACCACAACTCTCCCCATGGGCCCACAGACAGACGGAGACAATGTGCAGACTGACACACCGCCCCACAATTATCAAACCTCTTGGCTTCCAAGGCCTTCCCTGATTTTAGCTCAACAGGAAAAGTCTGTGACAATTATTACAGTGCGCTTTGTCAGACAAAACCTCATCAGCAAAGCTGCACGCCAAGTGAATACCCACTTGACTAAGCTTTGAATCATTTGTTATGTTTATATTTTCTAATTTATAGACTGAACACATGTAGGAATGTTTATAGACTATAAATTAGTCTATACATTTGTCTACTTGCATTGGTGACTACAGTCTCCTAGTCTGATCACACACAGTTGGTCGAACTGTTAATGGAGGTCAGGGTTCAGATCTGGTCATAGCGGAAAAAGAGCTTAACCGTTGTGGGAGTTTATCTTGGCCCCTGAGTTTGAAACCTCTCAGTAAAGTATTTGGATGGTGCAACATTAATTCTTCTAACCGTGCCATCCCCTTTCATTTTATGAACCCCAAGTGAATCCACAGGTCAAACAACATGCCTAGAAAAACACACACATTACTTTTCTCTACACATGAAAGACATGAATTAAGACATAACCGCAGATGTTCCTGACTTCTCCTTCCCTGCTGTCCCGCAGTTGCTGTGTGGATACTTGTGTGTGGTCAGGCAATAGTTAACCTGCTGTTCCTCAGCCAACAAAGTGCACATAGCTTTCCACCCACACAGTCTGGGATAGAGGCCTGGGGCCTCTCTGCATTCAGAGCAAGGAAGGCAGCCGGCATCCCAGATCTCTGTACAAACATCTCCACAGCTAGTTCAGCTAGCTCGGGTGATATGTGGGGGTTCCAAAAACTCCTTTTCCAAACCTTTATACTATAGAAAACAAAACCAAGAATACACCCTGGCTTTTTCGAAAAGGCCAGACAGCATTCCATCGGAATGTAATACGCTATACTGATGTTTTCTTGTATTTATTAATCGTAATGAAAACTTTCTATGATTATATGTGTTTCTTAAATTAAGACGCAGCATTATGGTTGTTGCTAACAGATATTGCTTAGCATTATTGCTTGGTATTCAGCAATAGGTTTTCACAAGGAGACAGGGATTTAAGCAATGAAGAAAAGACATTTGTATATATATATGTGTGATGTGATTTCTCTAAAACAGCTCAAAGAAGAACACTAATAAAATGAAAATCAAAACTAAATAAAAGCAAGATGAATTTAAAAGCCATATGCAATTACCCAATGTATGTTATTTGTCGTCATCAGCTTTTAAATGGTGTTTTGGAAATGTTAGAAGCCAAATACCTGCACATAACCATATTCCACTACAGTTATATTAAATAGATACTATTTGATACTAGTAGGGACATGCATTTGCAGTTTGTGTCATTTTGAATCCAAGATTTATGATTCAATTCAATTATTTTTTTAAAACGAAATTAAAAATGCTTTAATGAAAGGAAAGGTATTTTTCTTTAACGGCGCCTCTATCCTTTGATATAGCAATGCAACAGCTTTCTGACAAATCAGCCTATAAACAGACGAAAACAAAACACACCTTGACCGAAAGCAGAAGGAGCAACAATACTAATTATCATGACACTATCTCTCTCTTTCACTCCCTGTCGCTGTCTCCCTGGCTTCCTCCAGGCCCACAGTAAACAGGCAGACAGGACACAGCTGAGGACCTGCCCAGCATTCTTCTATCCGGATACCCTTGTGCACATGTGGAAAAATGCTTTTCATTCCAGAACATGGTTAAACACAATGTTGCCAATTGCACTGAACATCGTTTTCAGATACAGGCATGTGGCATCTTTCATACAAACACCAGCTGGACGTTGGCCCCACAGTTTGTCTGTCAATGGGAGAAGAGTCATGCAGTGTGCTCAAAGCGTATGGCTTTGCAGACATGCGTACGGAGGGACACTCCCTAACAACTGGAGATTCGCAGGGAAAACATACTTGTGTTTCCCAGAACTGGCCACATACAGAGTGAATATAGTTTGTTAAAGCTTCCTAATCCTTCTCAAGATACAGTTCACAAGAATACAGAGAAATAGTTAATTAATTCTACTCTCTCCTACACCAACTTCTTGAGCTATTACACCCACATTTACTGGAGCTATTTGCACCGGTCCTGCTGTGATGATGTCATCATAATAGCTGTTTACCCACATGTATGCACTGCACAGCACATTGCAGGTTATAAGTAACATATGTGGTAAGCAAAAAAAAACCCAAGACAAACAGCAATAAAAATAAGTGGAATCAAAGAGGTAATTACTGAGGGGTGAGGGTTTTACAGTTCATCTTGTCCAAAAGCCAGAAAACAACTGCTTTGAAAAGGCACAGTACATATACACTATGACATCATGGTCTGAAGATAGGAGAGGTGCAAAGTTCTGCACTGTGCAGGTTTGCTTTTGCAGTGCTTGTTGGTAGAACAGCAGCAACACTGTGAGACAAGATAATTCAGCTCTCCTCGCCAACATGGTTGTCTTTCTTTAAGGTGGTAAGCTACATCCCTTACTAGTTAAGGTAGCTTGCCCAGTCCAGACAAACAGCCATATCACGCTGCAACTCACAACTGGCAAACCACTGAAACTCAGCAGGTGTGAGCCTGGTCAGTACCTGGGTAGGAGAGCTCCTGGGAAAAACTGAAGTTGTTGCTGGAAGTGGTGTTAGTGGGACTAGTAAGGAGCATGGTCTGTGTGGGTCCTAACGCCCACCGTGTAGTGACGGGGACACTATACTGTAAAAAGGCACTGTCCTTTGGATGAGACATAAAATCGAAGGTCCTGACTCTCCGTGGTCATTACAAATCCCAGGGTGTTTCTTGAAAAGTGTGGGGGTGTTACCCAAGCGTCCTGGCCAAATTTCCCACTGACCAATCATGACCTCCTAATAATCTCCTTCTCTGAACTGGCTCCATCACTCTGCTCTTCTCCCCACTGAGAGCTGGTGTGTGGGGAGCGCACTGGCACACTATGGCTGCTGTTGCATCATCCAGGTGGGGGTAAAAGTGGTGGTGTAAAAGTGCTATATAAGTGTAAGGAATAATTCTTACTCACTTCACACACTGTGGACCCCCAGCCCCTAGTCAGAGTGGGTGGGGTGCCCCGAGTTTGACCCTGCAACATCTCCAAGGTGCAGTTTTTTGGCACCTTTGTAATCTAAAAGTGAATCTCCACCCCTCAAGAGAGACCAAGAGATTCAGATACCTGGCTGCTGGTCAGTGGCGTAGGACAGCACAAATCCTCGACCGGAGCGATGGATCCCGGAGATGAACCGCACTGTCGCCTCACTGGAGTTCAGAACCAGCTTCTTCTCCATCATGTGCATCGTCCCACACAGTGGCCCTGAACGAGGACAGGCACAGGGGCTCAGTTTCTGGATCACAAACACCAAGAGTGATTCTGCAGCACCGTTTGCACTGGGTAGGGCATAACATAAATAAAGAGACTGGTGCGGTAGTGCATGAAATCTGCAAATAAACTGCAGGGGTGTTTGTAGTGAGCTAGACAGGGTACATATAGTATGTGTCAGAATTAAAGAACATACTATACACAGTATATTGGTTTATGGGAATGAATATGTATGTGTTCTTTCAATGTTATTTATAAGATATATCTTTTCTATAACCCCGTAAGAAGGCTGATCACTAAAGGGTTAATAAATATAATTCCAATAAATTTGTCATAAAATCTCTTTTTACTTTATTGATTCTGGATTGATTCTAGAAAACAGTAGTTTAAAATGGCAGACTTACATTTCGGATGCAAGGCGACAACAGAAATAATCTGCTGCCATACATACTGGAGTCTGAGGCATGTAGGAGCGCGGAGATGAATGGGAACACAATACCAGGAAAATCATATTTCCCCAATCGGTTTCCTGGAACTGTGTTCCCATCAGCTTTTTCGTTTCTTTTCACCTCAAACCACTGTATGTTCCTTTCTGTCTGGAAAGCCACAAGGTGGGCTGCATTCTGTATCATTTGCCGTCGTTCTCTCTTCATTGTGAACTACTCTTATCAAAACAAATTTGGTCTTTTCAAAACACAAATTCCAGATATGGAAAGAGGTATAACAGCCCTCCTCTGTCCTCATGCATACTGAACACTTAGTCCCGCAGGAAACCGGGGGATGTTCCTACAGTAAATGCTGCACCCCCACAGTGCGATTGGGATTAAACCTATGTGGTCACCTTATTTGACCCTGTCAAACAATTGGAACATTTTGCAAATGTGTGTGGCTGAGGTTAAAGAGTGGGAAACTGAGGTCAGTCTGAGTGTCTGGGAATCAGGGAGGCAGCGTGGGATAGAGGTTTCACGAGAGGATCCCGGGAGAAAGGCAGCAAGCTCATAATCCATCTGTAAAAAATGTGTGCAGGAAATATTTGATGAGGCAAGCCTGTTCGGAATGTCCCTCTGATTGGCACAGCGCGCAGGATCTCAGACACTGCCACAAGTGGCTGTGGTGACAGTCATGCTCCATCTACCGCAGGAGTCATTACAGCAGAGAGCAGCAACGCCCAGCACCACTGAAGACTTCAAGACCTCAGCTGCTCAGCTAATCTGCTTCTTCCCCATTAGTGAGAAGTAAGAATTCAAAATGTTTTTTTTTCCTGCTACCTCTCAATGTAGTTTGATACAAGTGCGAGGTATCCTGCAAAAGGGAAACAGTTATTTTAATTGAATTTGCTACCAATCTGGGTATAACCTGTAGATACACAACTTCAAATTGAAATGCACTACCCCGTTCTGAACGATCAGGATGCTGACAACAGGTAGAGTTTATATCATCCCTGCTTACACTTGGGTCATTTCAGTATGGCACTGTCCTCATACGACAAAACCCTTGACTAAACATTCTGATCGGATTGCTGCAGGGCGAACGGCGGCGGACGGCAGGGCACAGCGCCCCTTACCCAGGCTGGGCGCCCCGTTGGAGGGGGTGATGGTGAGAGAGCCAGCGCTGCAGTTGGGGGAGTATTCTAGGTCAAAGTCCCCGAACACCAGGCGCAGCGTCCTCCCCTGTGCTGCCTGCAGACGCCACACGCACTGTGTCCCATTGGGGTAGGTGCCTGGGAAGTTTCGCGAAGCCAAGGTGCCACTCTGAGTGCCAAGCACCGTGTGCCCACAGCCATCGCCTGCAGAGGGAGGAAATGGCAGCTTACATGAAGAATTTCTTTGCATTGCCTTCCTTTACATTGCTCCGGTCTTCATTTTCCTATTCCATTTTTCTTTCCACTGTCATTCTTCTTCTACCATCTCATTCTCCCATTCGAATGAACTTATTGGCTGTAGCAAGTTCACTCCCACTGTGAGAGGAAGAGGGAAACTGGAGAAAGATTCAAACTTTACAGAGGAAGGCACCCGAAGTCAGAATCAGACCAAGGACCCTACAGTTGAGAGGCAGCAGAGCCATTTGCCCTGCCACCATGCTGCTCTATTTCAATAACCATTCCATTTCAAGGTCACTGAGACACAGCTATCAGTCAGAACTTTTCCCAACTATAATATTTTTAGACAAAATATTTATGCCCAATTACTAATTTTTTTGAACCGGCTCATTTATTCGGGAACAAGAAATTATTTTCTGCTTCTATAAACCCCAGGTGTCTAGCTCAGTCGCACATATTTAATCAAAGAAGCCAAACTGAACCCTGTAGACTGCACTACTGAACTCATATACACTCTCCAAAAAAACTGGGGATGTTTTTTTGCGGGAGAGACAGCTGGTACTGCTTACTAATCACGCTGAGTTAAAAATAATGAATCACACTGCTAGCTATATTAACTAATTCTTTTCAGGGTGGCCAAGATACCCGTGTATTAAAAGATCTGGTTAGGTGAGTAATGCTGTATTGCAGGGAAATTTCTGAAACGATTATAAAATTACTGTTTATCCCAGTAGTCTGAGATCATAACCTCATTATGAAAAAACAACAAATAATAAGCTCTCCATCCCATTCTTATTTACTTACATATGTGCTGACAATATGGAATTGCTTCTGGCAATTTCACCGTTTGTACTTGAAATAAGTGCTTGATATGATTTCCTGTGCAGTTTATTCTGGATTCTTATTAGCTGTTCATCAACCTTGACTGAAAAATGGCTAATATGAGACTTAAGTCAGCATTCCTGTTCTCAAAGCAGAGTCTTTTTAATTTATCGAAAAGCCACTGCACACACTGCAGACAAACATTCCCACACTTATTATCTGTATTTGGACAAAAACACAGAACCCAGCAAACACCATGCTGTCCTAAAGCAGTCTGCTAATATCTTACAATTACACCTAATCTCTTCCTGGGTGTAACCCACAGTATCTGGCAATCTATCATATTAACAAGGGCCCTCGTGACCTGGTTGCAAACTTTATCCAAGACCAAACAAACATAGTCACAATGGGTTATAGTTATGGTACGGGGCTGTCATACTCCTGGAGTCTGAAGAGTGTTTCGTTGGATGTTCAATCTCAGGAGCTGCTGTTGCACGGCAACCCAGGAGTCCAAAATCACTCCAGCTTTACCCCATCTATTAACCATTCTTACTCCCTGTAAGAAAAGCTTGGATTTGAACCCGCAATCACCGGAAAAAAGGTTGGATGTACTATCAAATATTTGGCAAATATTAGAATTAATGGGGTCCTTACTATGGAAAAATAAAAATAAAGTTAAGTATTGCATAATGACGTGGTTAGGGTTCAATGGTTTTTGCAGGTGTCTTGTAAGTAAGACCAAGCCAGAGAGTTACAAAACTGGAGCAGATTTTATTTTTGTCTAATAGCCGTGTTGGGATCTCCCTCAGGCTATATAAAGAGGTGCTGCCCTCCCCTTGCGGTTTTAAATAAAGGTGTTGTGAAGCATTTAATAAGTAAAAACTAAGCTGAGTCAGTTCTGTTCTGAGAAAACCCCTTAGCACGCTCAACCTAAATTGTACGTCCCGTCCTGCTGCAGTGGTTTTCAAAACGCTCCTTGTTGCCACCCAGAAGCCATCCATCAACCACTTCCCTCTGTTCAACTCATTAGAAATGCCAGAGCATGCCATCGCTAACTCCAGGTGCATCTAGCGCTTCAGCAAAGTTCCCAAGGTGCTTTACAAGAACAACACACTAGCTATGACTGCCAACTGTTATATAGTAGGGCTCTACTAGCAGGGCAAACACCATTCTCAAAAATGGTCTTTATGAGTATACAGCAGTTCATAAATGGGTAGAGCAGGGCTCTAACTGCTGTGTAGCCCACTGTACACGCCAGGATTAATCTTTGGTTTAGCATAGAATTGTATATCCAACATAATAGTGGGCAGGGACAATACAGGGAACTAGTGTTCGTGTTGACGCGTAGAAACTTGAGATTAGTCTGGGAGGCCTGTTTATAAAATAAGGGCATTATTGAATTTCAGTATCCAGGGAAGAGCTACACTCAGATTAATGTCTGGACTACAGAGCAATAAAACATTGGAAAGTATTTCAAAGAAACGTCTTTTTACAACAGAAAACAAAGAAAGGGGCAAGACTCTGAGCAGTCTTCACTTGATCAGACTCTTAGGGACCTGAACTTGAAGGGAAGGGGGACAATTAAAATTCCAAAGGGAAATCCCAGGGAAGGCGTGAGGAAGGAGTCAAGATTTCATCTCTCCTCGTATAGCGGGTTGTAAAATCTAGCCATTTTGCTACAGCCATGTCACCCTTTTACGGTGCTCTTCTTCATATTGTGTGAGTAATCTTCCACACCACTTCACAGACCATTACCTTCACCAGAGTCTAGTCAGATTAACAAGCGTGTTTTCTCCAGGGACACACGAGTGTATGGGAACAGACTGGTTGCGTTTTCCTGTATAATTGCTTGGACAGGCCTTTCTGCACTAGGAGTGTAATTTGTTCCAGCATGCACAGATGCCATGTGCTCAGCAAACAGGTCTGAGTTTGGGAGTCCGCGAGAGGTGGCTAACTGAACCTGGACATTTCCTAGAATCAATGTGACAGCAGGAAGGCTCTGGCTGCATGTTGGCCGTCACTGATCAAATAAAATACAAGATAAATCTTAGAGTATCTGTACTCCAGTGTGGCATTTGCTGGTCTTTTCTTTACTTCCAAATGAAACTTACCAAAAAGTCAACCAAATTACATTTCACTAGGGACATCGACATCAAAGAATTGAATGCTTTGTGAATGTCTGGAATATTTGGTGTGGTAGGTTTAGCCCCTTCATTATTGGGTAGCCTAGTGGCCATAGATTAAGAAGGCTCGAACCCAATTCAGGTACAGATGGGGTGGAGGACTGATGCTTGAGACGAATGTGTGTGTGTGTGTGACTTGTCATTGTTATTCTTCTTGAACTTCAGTTAGTAACTTCCACTTAGTCAGAAACAACACTTTAAAAATCATTTAATTTCTCAATTCTGTGTTTTTGTAGTCAGCTGCCAAACCCTTAATCCTTGTACTGAATGGTGGGAATCACCCTTTTTATATATTTCAAAAAGGTAGAGCAGGACTTCAGCCACGGAGGATGTATAAGCGAGTCTTCACAAGCTTTTGTCTTTCCCTGACAGGATGGGAGACTGTTTCCTTTCAGTGAAGGATAAGTTCACATCAATCACATTGCTCTAATGCATACTTATGAAGCCAGCTTCCGTAGTTTATGTCTGTGCAGTAATTTCCTTTTATATCATTACATGCTTGTTCCATTCTTTATTTTATCATTCTGTAGGTTTGTGAGAATTTCTTTCTACTTAGCCGACACTGCACCATACTAGCAAACTATGCCATCACAAAAAAGATTCCAAACACTGTGTACGTGGATGTTTGGGATGAAGAGTATATGACAAAAAATAGTATCAAACTAGGACGAGAATTCCATTAAATATAAGATAGGCACAAACAAGATGCATGTCAAAACATAACTTCCTGTCATTGAATTTTGTGGAATCTGGAACACTTACCATGACAAAGCGCACGCAAGGAAAAAATCCTGAGGATTTTTTTCATCAAACAAATCAAAAAGGACGTGTGCAAAGAGGATAAACAAAGCCCATTTAAAGGATTCTAAATTAACGTTTGAAAAGACGAAAGAATACTTATGAACTTAAAGGTTTGACTTTTGTGGTCATCTTCTGCATCATTACAGAAAAATGAACACAGCTGGGCTGGCTGCACAAACACATTCAAAGTTCATTTCTGGTGGTGAGGCTGAGCGCATTTTTTCTGGACTAACTCCGTCTGTGAATGTGCCCACTGTGATTCACGACACTGTCTCCTGAGTGTTCTGGCCTGTTGCTCAACGCAATGTAAACATGTTGAGTTCCTGAGCAACCCCATTGTTGCTGCTGTTCCCATTTTTCTGCATGTGCCCAGAACACTGCAGACCAGGCCACTGCACGTTTGTCAGTGGGCTAATTTGCTCATATTCCAACAGTTAACAGAATAACGGGACGTCATTGTGACACCTCTGAGGAGAGATTCTACACTCCCAGTCCTGCACTGGGGCACAACCCTATGCAGAAGCAGTTAAACCACTCTACAACTGAAAGGTGGAAGGAGTTGCAGATTAAGATGAAATTAAGTTTATAATGGGTTCAGTTAAGTCATTGCCTTGGACAGAATGAAAACCAGGAGAAATGGTAAAACGCCAGGGGGGAATATGGACTCGATTCCAACTTGCAGCCTCTGGCACAGCATGCGACTCATTTTATAGGTCTCCTTTGATCATCAACAACCTAATACTAGGATCCAACTGAGCAAATTATCATTTCATTACAGGACCTTATACCTTAGACTGAACTGAATGGCAAAGCTCCTCTAGTCTTTGAGGATGGGTGCTGTATCTTTGATGTACAGTACTTCAATGCCACAATATCTGAATATTCCAAATAAAGGTTTTACCTTTACTATATAATCCAATTCAGGAAAAAAATTGTTTTCAATTTACCTCATACTCGTGCTCTTGCGCTTTTAATGATTATATACAGTATATAAGGAATGCTGTGGTGTCTCAAAAGCCACATCCTTAGTTGGGTGTCCCCATCTTAAAGTATTGAAGCCTTGACTGAGAGGCCCACACTCAGATCTCCTTTGGTGCTCATCACTAGCCTGGTGTCTCAGCTCCTTCACCTGCAGAACAGTCTCTTAAAGCAGTTTAATGTTGGTTGTAAAAACATACCTCTATCATGCACCCCACTGCAGTGATGGCCTAGAGTGGTCTTCAAGTGCCAGACTCCTTTTTATTTTATATCTACTGGCTTCAGTAAAACCTCATTTCTAAAGGATGTGGAACAAATAATAGTTCTAAGCAGCTCAAAGACTCTGTAACACTCTAAACCATAAAAAGGCCATGATCATTCCATGTTTTTTTTCATCTCGGGTTTTTCCATCACTGGTGTTCTTGTGAGAGATGGCTAAAGGGACATGTTCTTTTCCAGTGCTATCTGGAGCCATCCAACACTCATGACAACCATCCCATAGTGATTCAGGGAAACCAGACAACTCCTGCATCCTGAGGGAAAATACAGCTCACATGCATCAAGAGAAGTGACAAGACATCTGTGGGGGGAGAAGGAATGTGGATTCCTCCAGGTACAGTAACTTTACTTGTGCACTTCACTGTTGCATGCTGTTAATGAGGACCCTTCTGTTCACAGCTGGCATCGGTGCAACACACAGTCACCACTCACGTCCAAGACCCCACTTCCTGCTCACGGTCTGTGTCCAACAGCCCAGTCCGACATTTTCTGCAATATTTACTACTGTTGAAAATATGCTTCTTGAAATGATGGAAAAGAACTAGTGCTGTAGCTCATTTAAGGGGGACATGCAGTACGTTGAAAAGTTACATAGTGACTCTGAACTCTTAGCCCAAATTTTCAGAATGAGTCAGAATGACTGGAAATGTACTGTATAAAGATCTAGACAGCTATGGAGTGCGTCATGTGTGTGTCCGGTGTAGGGGGTTGGTGGTGATGGAAGGAGACGTACATTTATGTGTTTGACACTGAGGAAACCAGACTTGGTCAAATTCCAGTTTTAGATTAAAGGTGAACTGCAGTTTCAATTTCTCAGACTGGTTATTAATTGCAAGTTACAAAATAACTTATTTAATGGCATCGCAAAATTTTACAAATTCTGAATTAAACACAAACTTGTGAACTCCTGGTCTGGCTACAGGCAAGAGCGAGAATATAATGTGAACTGTATGAATTGCATGAAGCAGCCCTTCCTGCTCACTAGTCACTGTAATGACTAATGTAATGTGATGTACCAGTGAAGAAGTTCAGGTTGTGCACCTGACATTTCACTGCATAAGTGTTCCTAGTGATCTGCACCCAGAGGTAACAAGTGAGTAGCATTTGTCGGCAAAACTGTCTTGAGGTTGAGAGCAATATTGTTATATGGATTAAAAGAGATGTATTCACAAGCCAGCGTGTTTACAGTGTAATAAGTCTGCTTCACCTCACCGGAAGTTTAATCATTCAATACCATTTCTTTTAACAGGCCAAAACAACCAATGAATGTTAAGGTAAAACAACCGATTACTATAAAAGCACCTATATTACAATAAGGTAACTGTCTAATCAAACTTGTTTTTTTTAACATGCGAGCTGACTAATTTTGCTCACATCAAATTTGGCACAACAGATTTTGTGGGTGCACTTAGCACCCAATTCTTTTTGAATGTATTAGTCACACAAGGTCCTATCCATAATTTCTGCGAGATTTTACAGTCAGAGCTCAGCCACAACTGTACTGAAAGCATGAAAATCATTCTTAATTTCTACAACCACTCTCTTGCGTAGTAAAGGAAACGCATCATAAAAATAATAGTTTTAAGGGTTTTCCCCCATAAATTACTTAAGGTGAAAAAATGAAAGGACTACAAATGTTGACGGAATAAAAAAACGAATCCCCAAAAATTATGCAATGCATTATGGTGAGGTGTATGAACAATGATCTAATATATACAGAATGCGCGATTCATAATTGCTGCATACAATAGATCGAGTCCTACAAATGCGCCATATATCCAGTTCAACCTATATTAAATATTAGTATTTTTGTTTCGTAATTATAACCTGATATATTTGATTAACATTGCACCGAACGATGTGTTAAGGAGTGAATTGTGCATCACTTCAAATCAATACGCGCGTATCTTTGTCGTTTTTAGAAGATCTTACAAAATCTAGTGATATTCCTTGTCAAAACCAGAGAATTCCAAGCGGCGTGTTGTGAAGCACTAGAATAGTTATTTGGCTACACTCTTGCGCGTCCTACTGCTTTCTCGTTTTGCATTTTTATTTCTTTTTGCAGCTCGTATTCTTAGCAAAACAGCGATACGACATTATATTGCTCTTAGCCCTTGATGGCAGTAACTGTAACTGTTTTGATTGACAAAGCTTTATGTTAATTGGCAATACTAATCAGTTTATGTACTGGTGAAACAATATTCAACTGCTCTGCATCGTCTCCGATGCTCAGAAGAAGTCATTGATATATATTGTTTGTATGAGCCAGGTAGGCCATTACAAATCCCTACAGAATAATTAATAAAGCAATCAATGGGGAAAAAAAACAAAAGCGCTAGGAGAACCATTCGCGATCTACAGACATTCTTGGTGGTGAACTGTACTGTACAGTATGTACTGTTGTTCATCCCTTCCAAACTACAATTTAGATTCCTCCCCAGAGTGCACGCAGTGCGGGCAGGTGTATTTGTCCTCACCTCAGCGACGCATGATAATTTACAGCTCAGATAAACACTGTGCTTCTGCAGAATATCAAACTCGTGGTGCTTATTTTACTCCCTTTACTAATTCTCCTGAACAGTGAGAACCGTCTGTAAAATTATTCTCAGACAGCGAAAGGGCTGTTGTCGCTTTGCTATTTTAACACAGTTTTTTCTTTTTTTTTTTGTTCTTGGACGCAATGAAAATTATCTGAACAGTATAGACTACAACAGAAATCATATGTCAGTGTCGAACATATCCAGTATCCGAGAAGCAGTTATTCATTAACAGTACAGTTTAACTGCACTTCCCACAGAGCTGACCCCGACAGGATAAAACACGGTACTTTCAGGGTTTGAAAGACGCTTCGGGAGAAAGGAAGAAAAATAAATGCCTGGTTTAGTCTTGTTTAGACCTGTTTGCTGACCATTTGAATGTAAAAATCGAGTGATAGGAACGTCAAAAAAAAAACGACTTACCTTCTTGCCCGTGAATTCCCTGAGTTTCAACAAATAAAATCAGCAAAAATCCGGTTACAAAATCGACAGTGTCCAAAACGCTTCCAGGTGTCGCATACATGGTGTAGATGAGCTATCTCCAACACCGCGACCCCTGCAAATCAGCCATCAGTTACAGTTTATTCTTTAATACAAGCCAGGTTGCAACTTTACTTGACACAAATCAAACAACAGAGGCGCTGACTACTTTCCATTGGCCGAGCGCGCAGCTAGCGCTCCGGGATTGGCTGGGGACGACGCCAGTCAGGCAGCCCAGTTCCAAGAACCCTTGTCCAAATAAGGTCGAGCCTCTGCGGGAATTTTGCTGTGTTACAAATTATTCCCCCGTTTTTTTTAGTGACATCATGGATAATTAGTCTCCGAGGGATGCGGGGGCAGCATGCGTTTAGAAAACAGTCATTGCTGAGCAGATCCTCAAGCCCCCCTCTCTCCCTCCCTGGACTCTTGAGTACAGTTTGATCAGAAATCCAGACAAACACTTGTTGCTCACTCTGTGAAAATTATCGCTCTTATCCTGCAGTGTAATGTATTGCTTCTCAATGAACTTCACTATCCCGGCTTAGTGGTTGCTTTTCTTTAACATTTTATTATGGTAGAATCGAGTTTATTGGGTGATTTAACTACATAACACCGTAACTTAATTACCGTAGATACATAATACAAATATGAACAATTGTGTTTTCTTTCTTCTTTTTTCAGCATGGAATAAACCTATTTCTTGTTCCTTTGCAGCCTACGCATGCTGACGCAGCTACCCAACTGAACTAATACAAATATTATTCCTAAAGCTCGACAGCCTCTTGTACGCTCACATTCCGAAGACCTGCTTTCTTCTGAATTTGAATGCAAATAATATTATTGTTCATCTTCTCTTGCCAGTAGTGAATAACTGCCCTGCTGTACTGTAGATAGGACTGTCTTCTTTCTGTAAATAGCCCACACGCTAGAGCTAAGACCTCTGTGTCAGAGATCAGACAAGTGCTGTGAGCCGGCCCCTTTATCAATGCAGCTAGCGGATAAAAAGTGGCCCTCAAAAGCTGGAATAATGGTTGAAAGTTTGTATAATTTAGACGCATGCAAAATCGCTGTGCACCTATAATAGGAGGGATTTTGTTAAACTGATAGCAAAACTAATAATACAATCTTGTCATTCTGGGTCCATACCACTTTTTGTCTGAACAGTTTTGGCCCGTAATAAACTGGCTGAACTTACCAGTTCTAACACTGTAATGATACGAATTAATGACAGGTGTACGCCTCTCACGGATACTCCACGGTTGTAAAATTGAGTGCTCACGGTGTCTTAAATGAGTAAATTACAAATAGTATTACTTCCATTTAATAAATCTGTGTTAAACATTGATGAGGGTGCAACTATTTGTAGTCACAGGAAGGCGTTCTTTGTGTGTAGATTGTTCTGCATGCCTGAATGAACACGGTTCTATCAGGATAAAGTGCTATTGAATATGATTTGACCAGTGCTCAAAAGAGTGCTATGCTTAGTGCTTTACTAACGTGTCAGGTCAAACTTTGTTACTGGAAGCACCTCCTGGAAGAAAATGGAAATTGATGCCAAATTTTGTATCCAAGAGCAAAACCCGAGTCCCACTAAAAATTCAATAAAAGCAACAGTGTGAAAAGCATTAAACAGCATTCTAATTGCAGGCCTTTAATTCAGCAGACAACAGAACACCACTGATAGATATACTTTAATGATAAAATATCCTTAAAAACGTACGTGTACTCCTGTTGATGCCTAAACAGCATTCGTTGAAAAAGCCTGACATCTGGCGGAAGGATTGATCATATTTTATTTGAAAACCAGTACATTCACCGTTTTTAATCGGAAAACGATTACTAATCACGACAGAATGCAAAGCTTGACAATAGTGTTCACATATAATTAAGGTACAAGCAGTCTCGTCTCAAGCAGGAATAAAACGAAATGTTCCACAGCGAAACCTCAGAGTTCCGACAGACGGAACTGAGTTGGGCTCATCTCACGCTATATCGAAAGGAAAAAATATCGATTAGGATCAGTATTACTTTACCTGTCTAACTTTACGTAAGAGAGAAATCAATGCTAACTTAATACTTAAAATTGAACGCGAATAAAAACAGGCACTGGCAACATATGCGCGGTTGTATAAGATATTGAGTGATCTCCACAGTACGGCTCGTCAGCTGCAAATAAAACGACCGTAATGAATAACTAGCTATTGCATAAAACATAATGACTTGACGCACATTTTCCCAAGGCCATGTGTGCCTGTCTGGCGTTTCGCAAGCCACGATACCTTTGTGGGCATCCAATGTGCTAATGCGGTCTATTTTTGCAAACTTCACGCCCGCCCGAGCCGCCCAGCGCGGCGGCTGTCGGAGGGACAGATGGTGCACAGCCAGGCGCTGCTCCCTGCCTTCGGAGCAGGAAGTGTAGCCGAGCGGCACGGCGCATGCTCAAAGGGCTCTCCTGGAAGCTCCGGGGATGTGTTCGCAGCTGTAAAACGGTAAGAAAAGACACCGAGGGTCGAGTAAACGCGGCCCCGCCGCCTGCAGCGGGGTGCGAGGAGGCGGCTGCGGGGGAAGGGGGCGCCGGGGGAGGGCGGGGAAGGGGGTCTGTGCGGGGGTAATGCCCCGGGAGCGGCGCGGACGGCCGTTTGGAGCGGAGCAACGCCGTCGCCGCGGCGCTTGTTGTTAGTGTACGTGCCGCCGCACCGGGAGACGTCAGTTAGAGGGGGAGCGGAGGGAGAGAGAGAGGGAGAAGAAAGACGGAGGCACGTTGGCGGCCGGGGCCAGACAGGCAGCGCGCCGTGCGTTGTTAACCTTTGTTGGTAGTGTTACATTGTACAGTGTAGCAGGACGAGGGGAGGGATTGTGCTCGTCTGCCTTTCTCGCCCATTTGCTGTGCAACAGGAACAGTCTCTCCCCCACCACCACCTCTCTCTCTCTCTCACATGGGGATCTTGGCGCAGAGGAGGGCAGCGTTGACTAACCCACACGGCCCGGGCGCAGATAAACGCGAGCAATGTCTGGGTTAAAGCAACAAAAAAAAAGAGAGAGAGAGGAGGTGAGCAGCGAGCAGCGAGCGCGTCGTCGCACAAAAGACCGGCTGTTTTGGTGCGCTGCGTGGGAGACGTTGCCTGTTTTTCAAAACAAAAAGCAACAAAGTCACGTAATTTGAAAGTAACTGGAGTCCCCTCCCTTTTTTTCGAAAAAAAAAAGCGTCTCTCCAAACTCGCTGTCGATTTTTGAAATCTGTGCCTTTTATGTTACACGCTGCAATTCGTATTGGCGTAGCCCACGGTTAGCAAGCCCGGTCTTGAATTTAGCAAGTTAGCACGGTGTCTTATGCTGGAGGAGGGATAAGGCATTCGAAGGGAGGATTGGTAGTGTTTAGGAGTTAAGCCAGATTCACACAGCTGTGGTGGGATAATAAATTTCACTTGTATTTTTCCTTTCGTTGATCTTGTCACCTGTTGCCCTCTGAGTCTGGTCTGGCTGGCTGGGCTCAGTTGCTGAACTTGGCAGGAGGTCAAAACGTGTTATGTTGCTTGGAGCGTTCTGCTCTGGACATTTGGCTTTAATAACAACAGAAGTTAAGAGAGTGCTCGCTGGTCACTACAACTATTTTTTTTAATAAACAGAGGCTTCAGCCCATGTATATTGGTCTCCTAATTCCTGTCCCTGCAAAAGAACTGTTATATGTTACGATTCTTTATGTGCTCGACTGGAAAGTGTAAATGGTCAGGGTTTAAAAGAACAGGTAGTAAAGTCTTTTAAAGATCATAAGATCATAAGATATGGCCAGCAGCCATATCACCCTGCAACTCACAGCTGGCAGCCCACTGAAACTCAGCAGTGTGAGCCTGGTCAGTACCTGGATGGGGGACCTCCTGGGAAAAACAGGAAAAACCTGTAAAGCACTTTGAGTGGAGTATCCGGAAAAGCGCTATATAAGTGTAAGCAATTATTATTATTATTATGTTTAATGTAGAAAGACCATGTCCTGGTAAATCGTTTAAAATTAATGAAGTGGAAAAGATGCTATAAGCAGTTCAGTAATGTCTCCATTTATGAAACTGTAATACTGTCTTACATAGTATGCAGGCTACCTGCCTGTTTGAGTTCTTGGAATGCTGTCTTTTTGTGCTTTGATTTGAAAACTAAATTGAAATGAGGCTTTAATAGGGGGAGTAGGGGGAGATAGTGATGCCATTTATGTAATTCATTTGGCTTCTTTGAATATATCACGTTAGCCTATATATATATTAACTGCAGTTGGTAGCTTAATAGATATAATACAAGCATCAATCATAGGGAATTGCAGGGAATACTAGTTAAAAACCTAGAAATTTATAAAATATAAGTCTTTATTACAATACAATATTTTATTTTACAAAAGAGGGTTTGAATGTAACCGACGAAAGGCCCACAATTTGTCTTGTTTCTGTGAGTAGTGATGAACTCCAGAACAAGAGATGAACTTTTCAGTTCATCTTAGTAGCAGGGAATTTGGTGCACATAAGAGCCAAAAGTAATTTTCTGATAAACTGCTAAGCTGAAAAAGAGCTGTTGCCATGGAGCTTACCGTTCTAGTGTGGAAATTAACAGCACTGAATAAACTTACATTCTAACCTGTTCAGTCACACAACACCCCAGTGTCACCTTTTACATCTGAATCTGACAAACCACCAAAGGAGTACTGTGAATAAATTATTTTGAAATAACTTCTTTTTCTTCTAAGTGTGCTTTCATTTCGAACATGCTGAAGTCTGTTCGTAGTGCACTATGAAGTGTAGTGCACGATTAAGTGTTCTTGGACGACTACAGTAGTCCAGTCTTGAGGAAAAAAGGCCTTGCCCAGTATCTTGGCATCTGACTGGGACAGAAAAGGTTGCCGGCGTTGTAATGCTGATCCATTCCCTGCCTTTTGTAGTTCCTTGACGGCATGTAGGCCTGGAACTCTGCACACTGAGCTGCGCCGGTAGGTGCTTGCTGGGGAGATGGGTGGGTTTCACCGAGTGAGTCCTGTCACTGTCCCCGCAGGGCCCTGCGACTCGGCCAGGCAGCCATGGCGAACACGGAGGTGACGGTCTCCATGGGCGACGTGGTGGTGGTGAAGGCGGCAGGAGAGGGGGCAGACCCCGCTGACAGCACCAAGACACAGGTCATCCTGCAGCTGCAGCCCATCCAGCAGGGGTAAGACACAGCGCCCCTCTCCATCCTGGGGAAAAGAGGATCGGATCTTGTCCCAGACATCCACTAACAGCACTAACAGTGTTTTCCTTCCATTTTATCGACAATAATGACTGCGTTTTTTTTCTATTCTAGGGGTGCCTATGTTGAATAATTCTCAAACAATGGAGGTTAAGAATATTAATAAAACATGAAGTGTTTTAAATGCCACTCATCTTTGAATATATATTATATTATGTATTTTTTATAGTGTGTACCATGCACTAGAATTAGGAAACCTGTTTTGTTCGGATTTGAGTTAAAACTGAACTGAAGTATGATTTTATTCATCACATGGTGTCAGATGTTCTGCATACAGTAGACCACTCCTAATGGAAGTGAAAACAAGGCACGAGGAGGGTGAAATGGCCTGATTTCATTTCTTGTTCCCCTTATTCAGCATATGTGAAGATTCAGCTGAAACCGATGCTGCTGTTGTGTCTGTAGAGACACACCCAGGTGGGTGATGTCATGGATCTTCTGATCAGCTTTACTAATCTCATACATGCTGTTTTCCCCCTGTAAAACCCCTGTTTTAAAAAAGACACACTTCTCTTTCTTCATGCACTATTGCTTTTGTCCTGTGACTTTCCATCTTTCTTTGTTAAAAAGACTTAATAGATTTTTGTTATTGGAAAATCCTAGAAGTGACTAATATTTTTGGCTTTTGTTTTACTGATAAGATCCAAGCTATTTTTTGGGATCAAATGCAAAAGAGATATTAAAAACAAGAGGAAGCAATTTGATGTATTTAACTATTTGTCTGCTTCTCGTTAATTGATCCAAGGACCTCAGTCACGTGTTTATTGTAGAAAGTTTGCTTATGTATCAATTTTAACAGTGAGGACGAGACTTTCACAACCTTCTATGTCTTTAATTTAGTTCCGTGCTCTTACACTGATTTGATAGATAAGGCCGTTTGGAATAATTTGAAACACTGACTACGTTTTTTGCTTCAGCTAAATGTATCAGAGCTTCTGAGGCATTTCCAACTGACCTATAAATAAACATAAAATAAAACATGAACATGTTTTACCTTAGACGCAAAACCAAAATAAAGACTTTGACTTATATGGTTCTGTAGTGTAGCACTTCTGTCTTTCTGATATACTGCAAAACAAAATTTATTATTCTATATCACCTTTATTTATCAGAGTGACAAGGTATTTTTTCAAACACAAGAAATACATACACACATAAGTCAAGTGATGAGAAAGTAAGTGGTGGATATAAATGTAAAATAGTTCGTCTGATGCTCTGAGGTGACATTGTTACAGAGCTGACCTTCTGATATGTGTGTTTGTGCAGATGAGCCACCAGCAGATGGGGAGGAGGTGGAGTTTGGCTACCCCATCACTTGTGGGGAGAGCAAGGCCGTGTTATTGTGGAAGAAGTTTGTATGTCCTGGAATCAATGTCAAATGTGTCAAGGTTAGATAAGATGCTGCTTCTTCTGTTTTTTTTTTAATATTCTAAAATGGTTGCTATAGTCATAATGTCATAAAAATCAACTCAAATTAGCATTTTTGTCTCGGTTACACGTGCCTGTTTTAAACAGTGTGGCACAAAATACATTTCTGAAACATTTGTGACATAACAGAGGCATACAAAAGTGTGTCTTCCAAAACCTTGCCAAAAAGCTGCATCGTTCTCAGTTCTTGTTGGGTCAACAGTTGCAAATAAATATCTGATCCATAAATAAAAAATCTGTGGCAGCCGATTGGAGTGGCTGGAAGTGCCTTTGTTGTTGTTTGTCAGATTTGTACCACCCTGCTCTTCTGATCGTGCTTTCTTGTGGTGCAGTACAATGACCAGCTGATCAGCCCAAAGCAGTTTGTACATCTAGCTGGAAAGGCCACACTGAAGGACTGGAAGAGAGCCATTCGACTGGGAGGGGTCATGCTCAGGTGAGCCACTGGGACATTAGCCTTCTTGTGGTGGCTGATCCAGCTACTCTATGAATCCAGGTCGTGTTTTTCCTGTTTTTTTCAGCCTTATGTCTTGGTTTCCAGTGTCTCCTTGTCTTACATTGTCTCAGCTTTACCTCTGAAGCCGTAGTATGTCTATATAACTAAAGCCCCTCTATTCTCACCATATTTTCCAGCTCTGTACTTTGTGAAATTGATTCCCTAATGACTTTATTTTCCTCCTTGGCTTCAGGAAAATGATGGATTCAGGACAGATTGACTTTTACCAGCATGACCAAGTCTGTACCAACACCTGTCGCAGCACCAAATTTGACCTGCTGATCAACAACACTCGGTTCCCAGGGCAGCAGACCAGCGTGGTGCAGACTCCCACCTCCCCACAAAGTAAGACAGAGACTAGGCTTTTTTAAAAACAAGAAGAAATTTTATTTTTGATGAATCTGTGCACTCGTCTCACTGTAATTAAACAGATTCTGAACATGTGTCCTTTCATATCTTTCGATGAGGTGGAATTATCAGCAAGAAAAAGATGAAAATAGAAAAAAGATTGTGATAATGGAGATAATGTTAAAGGTATCAGATGATACAGAGTATCACCAGGCTTGGAATTGTAGGACCTGTCCTTGTCCCATTTTGGGAGTTATTTGTGAAGAGCCCAGTTTGCTAAGTACATGACTGTTGCTCACTGTTTCATCTCTTTCTGTGTCCTTTGCCAGCAGGCTTCTCCACACCTTCAAAGATGGTGTTTCAGCAGGTGGGGAAAAGTTATAACCAAGATAGAAACAAGCTACAGTACATGTTTTTCACAAACAAATAAATGGAGCATTGAAACTAAGTCAGCCAATGGGCTGTTTTCTTCTTTAAGGAAATCTGTACATTTAAAGCTAGATTCTTTTGGGGATAGAGACCACAGTTCACTCTCATAACTGCTTGGAGGTTGGCCTTCCTTAGAGTTACTGGGCATCTGTCCTCTCCATTTGTGTAGGAAACGGGACCCAGGTGACACAGGAGGAGTCTGTGGAGTGGAGCCAGAGTGTGTCCAGCAGCATGGCTCTTGTCACTGAGCAGGAAAACAAGAAAGACACAGACGATATCTCTGGTGAGTCCACCCAGTCCTGCCCTGTTAGCACTGACTTCTTGAATGAATGCACTGCCAGCTGTTGAGAAACCTGTTAATCTGTATATAATCTGGCCCCACCCAAGTGTTTTTCTCCCTTGCTCTGCATTGCAAGTTTTCCCTGTGGGCAAGAATTGGCAGCTCTTTCCTACTGTAAGGCAGCTCATTAACTTCCCAGCCGAATGCCTCATTACATCATGTGATTGTGTGCTGAGATATATATTTCATATGTAAAAATAGAAATCATTTCTATAGAACAGTGATAATTCTCCTGAAGATAGCATGACAAAGCATATAATCGTTTATATTAATATATAGGAGACAGCGTGGTTCACCTCAATATTTTTTCAATGTGTTAAAGAGTAAAACGGCCTTCAGAAAAACTGAAGTGCAAGACAATGCAAGCTGCTGAGTAAATACTGACTGTATTTTTTGTCTATGACTGGCATTTGTAGATGCAGTTAAAAATAATGAATTATGTTGTGTGTACTGTCCTTTTTTTTCCTGCTGAAGTCATTTTTCCATGATAGTGAAGTATTGGAACCCTCAAAAAATTCCTTGAAAAGGCCTCCCAACAGTATTCTGGAGAAAATGTATATGATGACTTGACACACACAGTCACTTGACAGATGCTGATTTGCATTCCCATGCATCCTGTGTGGGAGTCCGTTACGAGATTGTCTTTCCAGAGTTTTGTTTCTCCTTGGCATGACATGCCAAATGTAAAATCAAACAAAACAACAGCAAACAATCTCTTCTGTCGCTCATCAGCACATGTGCAAACTAGAAGTGAAAACCCCGGGAATGTTCATGAGGTATTACCTGCTCCTCTGAGGCTGTCGTTTGTGCTGCTCCTATCTCCCAGAGGAGACTCTGAGTTTCTGGAAGGGTATTGCGGACGTGGGGCTGATGGGGGAGGTGGTCACCAACATCCGTACAGAGTTGCTGGCACTGCTCAGAGGCGTGCAGCTGAGGAGTGGTCAGGCAGCGCTACAGGAGCCAGGTAGGCACTGCCAGCTGCTGGCAAAAGCTGAAATGTAGCCCACAGTTTGCAAGATATTTTGCTGTTTTGCCAGGTATTGCACTTAATTGCTTTAATGCATAGAAAGGAGTAAGAAAAAAGACGTTCTGAAGATAAGTGTGGGGAGATTAAGAAATAATCTGCATTCTATGCTTGTTTTATAATAAAAGGTGATCAAGTAGGCAAATGTAATGAAGGACTTGTTCTGGAATAAATTGCCATTTTTGGTTTTTAAAATATTTTGTGATAGTATATAGTTTTCATTATTTTTCACTAGAGTTTTTGCCTTCCAGAACAATATGAGGTGCTGGTGTCACTGTAGGACTCTGCACAATAGTGGATTTCCCTCAGTAATCCATATTGCTTATAAAAAATAAATGGCCTGTTTGGTGTTCTCGGTCAGTTTGAGTTGTGTGCTATCAATGCATATTTGTGCGTGCATTGCCGATGAAAACCTCACTCATTACTCTGTGCCTTCCTGGCAGATGCAGCGGTGCTGAATAATCTGGCCCAGATGTTCGGGCTGCTGGACACAGTGAAAAGAGCTCTGGACAACCGGAGAAGCCAAACTGACGAGAGCCAGGAGCAGGTTCATAGCACACTGTCAGGTCAGAAGCTTGATGCTCACGCTCTGTTGCCATTGTTCAAAGATGTCCCTAGAACGGTTCATAAGTATTTTGCTTTTCAAATCTTATTTTGAAGTTTATTATTACAAGTTAATATTACCTCGCTTCTTGTTATGTTGTGTCCTCTGCCTTTTCTGATGATTCATTCTAATTCACCATTGGCCTAGTTTTCACAGCAGTGTTGAGTGTTATGATTTACTTTCTGTCTGATAGCAGAAAACCTAGAATGAGACAGTCGTACAGGATAGATGTACAATAACATAATAGCAGCTGAATAATGCAGTATCTTCCATAATGATGCTTCAAAAGCTGATACACTGAATGGTGTGTAATGATGTAGAGCCCAGGGCTTCGTGTTTGACTCCAGGCCGATAGCTGATTGCCGCTCCTCTTCCCCTACCCCAGATCTGGAGCGTCAGCTGGAGGAGCAGAAGAAGCAGACGCGGGAGTGGCGCTTGCGGCCGCAGACGCTGCAGAACGTGGTGCTCATGTCCCTGGGCTCCTCCAAACCGCCCCCCAAGCGCCCTCGCCTCCAGAGGCCAGCCTCCACCACCCTCCTCAGCCCCACCACCTCCCAGACGCAGCAGCAGGGCCAGCAGTCCCAGCAGTTCACCGTTCTCTCGCCCATCACCATCAATTCCATGGGGCAGCCCTTCACCGTGGCTGGCTTGCCGGTGGCCACGCTGGCCCAGCAGGCTAGCCCTGTCACTCTCCATACCCTCCCGGCTGGCTCCCAGCTCTTCACCCGCTACACCACAACTTCAGCAGCACCTGGCACAAAAACCTTACCCGCCGACACCATCACCTTCCATCCTTCCTCCAGCCTGACGCTGCTCAGTGCCGCGGCAGTGCAGGACCCAGCTCAGCTTGGGGCGATGGTGAGCCCGGTGGAGCTGGTGGAGCTCTCCCAGGAAGACGAAGGAGGGACAGGGGAAGGGGTGGGTGGGCAGGAGGAGGAGGTAGTTGAAGGGGGAGTTCTGGTCCAGGAGGGGATTGAGGAAGGCCTGGGGGAGGTGGAGGATGAGAGCCAAGCCCACACCACTGTCATCGAGATCGACCCGGCGCCTGAGCACGGAGAATCGCAGCACCACTCCGCCACAGTGATGGGGTTGGAGCTCACTGATGGCACCGGGGAGGAAGGCAGTATAGTGGTCCAGGGGGAGATGGAGATGGGAGAGGGGGAGGGAGCCAGCTTGGTCGTCCAGGGGGAAATGGAGGAGGTGGAAGGAGAGATTGAACACCAAGAGCAGCTGCACGATGTGCAGATCGTCGTCATTGAGGAGGAAAATGGAGAGGAACCAGAGGCTAAGTGAACTCAGTGCTGAAAAGATCAGCAAGGATTACAAAACAGTAAAAACAAGTCCCAGTGTTTGGAGGTCCTTCATGTTCAATCTTTCCTCAATTAGGTGACCTGATTTCAAAATGCAAGACAATTTTAGTGCAGTCACCACCTATGGCATACAACCATACAGTAGCAAGACATCAGTCACCATGTGACAAAACCTTGAAGGAGGATTTATTGGGAGATCAGCTGTACCTGAGAATTACCCAGGGAAAGGGAGGGTCAGGACAGACAAAGTTAAACTGTACTGGATTTAGTTGTCCAAGCTAACCTGGGTTGCTTCTCTTTTTTCTTTTTTTTTTCTCTGAAAAAGAAAAAGGACTTTATAAACAGGTTCTCAGTTTTTGTATCACTGTTTTGTTCTCTACATTCTGAAATGTAACACTTCATTTTGAAGAATTGGGAAAGGAATTTTACAGGGCAAGACCATTGTGCTTGCTTAATAGCTTGTCCTCAATCATTTAAGTAACACATGGATATTTTGCTTTTAAGATTCCCCTTTTTTGCTATGAAGGTTTGGGTCAGGAGAGTTTACATGGGACAGAAAGCCAAAACTGACTTGCTGAGTGCATAAAATTACTGCCCTGGTAGAAATATCCTTATACTTATTTTACCATCTTTGTAAATAGTTTGAGAATTCATGTCCTATTTTCTAACACAGCATGAAATATGAGAAGACCTTTAGGTTTTTAACCCCTTTTGATGGTAGTAAAACATGACATATTTCAAATCAAAATTTGGGATGTCAACCAGTGTTGTATTACACTGAGCTTTCCTTTACTTTTCATACTAAACCTTGCTATGAAATACTTTGGAGTGTAATGTTAAGAACACGTGAAATGAATTATATTGCTAAGGGGGGTTTTTAACTTCCAAAGTACATTTTGCTACAACAGGCTGAGGCAGAGAACAATAGTATAAAAACGCAAAGTGAATGCTCATCAAAGCATTAGTTATTTATGTAAAATAATGTTCAATCTTTTTTGCTGTAAAGGCTTTCATATGTTTATTTTATTTTTTTTATAAAGATAAGGTTCAAATATGCCAAAAACAAGTACAATGAACTGGTATGGAAAAAAACAAACATTTTTAGTGGTGCATCTCTTCTTGTGCACATCGTTTCTGGTTGATTTTATTTAATTTTCATTTACTTTTGCTATTATTTAATCTTAAACCAGAGCTGTTATTCATCTGAAATGCTCAGTTTGTGTTTTTTGCCGGACCCTGATGCCCTCTGGGACTGGAGCTGAAACTGAAATTTCAGGGATTAGCGTGACAGATAGGCAGAGCTGGATTTGGGAAAGATTCATTCAACTAAATCAGTGTTGCATTTGCACAATCTAATAGCAGAAAAATGCCCCTGTCTCTCCTGATAAAAAACAAATGCACATTTTCTATCATTGTAAATACAATTTTTTTTAAATACATTGGAGGGCTTAACACTTTACCCTTTTTTAAAAAGGGGGGACTTTTGAGTGTTTTTTTAGAAGACAAAAGGCTGGTGTAGAACGTGGCTGTGTTAACATTGCTTGCACTGGAGGCCCATAGGAGAACTGTCACTCATCACAGATGAATAATCACCACCAAAAGCTTTTTGATCAGGATTTGTGAGGTGAGGTGTCCAGTGCTCAGAAACAATAACCGAAATGGGTACATATCCAGAGAAAGAAACTGTGCTGTACATGGAGAAGCCCTTTCCTCATGAAATGTAGTTCAGCTGTGTGTTAGTGCTTAAATGGGATCACTGTTTAACATATCCAGACTTAAAAAAGTTTGCTTCATGTCTCCAATTATTATTTTTTCATTTTTGAAATCCCCATTTTGGAATTGGCACCTGGTACCACAACACTGTGAATTCATTCTGCCATATACAGAGCAACAGCATCTTAGGTGACAGCTGGAGAGGCCAGGTGGGGAATTTCTCCAGTTCTGCCCGGCCTTAGGCTCCTGTCTGCAATCAGGATATTCTATGGCATGATGGATGATTGTCCTTCTGCTTCTCATAAACAAAAACAGAATGGAGCTGTGTTGATTATTTCTTAAGTCAGATACAGCCTGGATTTGAACATGTGAACTCCAGGTTGTAATATTACTGCACTCTTTGGGAAAGCAGGAGACAGTTTGAGAACATTCAAAATGTGAAATGATGCTTTCAGGGTAATATGGTAGAGTCCACCTCCACCTTTATTCACTTGAAGGAGGATTTATTAGGGAACCAGCTGTATCTGAGAATTACCCAGGGTAGGGGAGGGTCAGGACAGACAAAGTTAACTGTCATTTACTGTAAATGAAATGCATTTAACATAATCTAGTGCACGTCTGTGCAGAATCCGTTTAAGCAGTAGATAATGTTGTTTCTCCTTGACACTACTATAAACTGAAGTACAGTAGCTTTTCAAGAATGTAACAAGCTTTGTAAGGGAATGTGATTGAGTTGCACTGTATTTGATCATCAAGTGAGTTTCTGTATCGCACAGCTAACATAACAAAGACTTGTTTGTAAAGCTCAATTAAAACCACATAGAGGTAAAAAACTGCATCTGTATTTCATTTAACTTAATTTGCTTAGCAGCTGCGTTAGATAAGGAAAGTTGTAGAGAAGAATATTGTTTCTCCCTTTGCAAATATGGAAATGCTGTTGGTGACAAAATTGCTTGATTTGCACATTAGTTATGTTGTATATGTAAGTAGAAAAAGTATAAGCCCACATTTCCTAAATAGGTCTTAGTCATCCAAGCCTATATACTTTAAAGCATATACCAGATTCTGGCTGTTGTTCCCTTTTTGGTAATCATGCTGTTAAGACTAATATCTGATCACACACTATGGAAATGAGTCACACTCCATTTGAAGTTCATGTCTAGTCAGTGAACCAATTATTTTGCTAGCGGGGCATCTGATCCATCAAGCTGATGAGATCAAAGAATCTGATCTTTTATCTCTTGTAATTTGTCATAACAGCAAATTACATAAGTTGATCTTTCACTACATCTTCCTTCCTTCTGTTTCCTCTAACTAAAATTGTTTCTGGAACACTGGCGTGACGACGGCGAATTTATTTTTGTAATGGATTATCTGCCTTTAAAGCTGTCAAGTTGAAGATGCTTCCATTTCTTCATTAATAGTTTGTTTTCTTCATTTCTGACGTATCATGCAGATTTCCAACCTTTCAACTCATGGATTCTCTAAAAATGTTTCTGCTCCATAGATCTGAGCTGTGTAAATTTGCTCTAAGATATTTTGTACTTCATCTTTATCCGTCTTTAATAAAGATGAAAGATTGAAATAAATCACTGAAATTCCAAGTCAGGAATTCACCACACGCGCATTTGCTGGCGAAGGGCTCATAAAGGGAGAGTTTGTCTGGAGATGCCAGTTGTACTGATCTCAAAACTGAAGCAGAGACAGGCCGGCTGATGGAAGAGCATTTTTAAAATTAGAGTTCGAGATAAGCGCTGATGCAGCTATTTTGTTGCTTCTATGCATCTTCATCAGTAAAATGCTTGGAAAACAAAGTGTGAGACCAGGTCAGATGTAAAAGGAATGCAATTGTAAACAATTCTTGTGAGCGGCAGATCAGTAAAAGAATAAGAGGAGAATGCTGTCCTCAGTTTAACTTGGCTCAGAAAGATGTTTCACCTACCAGCTGCATGGGAAAATTGGAATCTCTGTTCTTTAATACTCAGATATTTTCACGACCTCATCTGTATACAAATTTCTTATTTGGTTGAATTAACTTGATAACTCTCTCATTGGGTGTTTTCTTCAAAACAGAATTTCATTAGGGCCTCTGAGGTAACTAGCTTGACTGCTTTGGTGTTTGTTCTTAAATACAAAATTCTGAAGCCTCTGCTGAAACATAGTGACAGTTCTTACATTGAAAATTATAGTGGGATGAATACTTTCAGACCTTTTATTGATTTTAAATTCAGCTTTATAGGTTGTATGGGGAGATATTTACACATTATCAACCACATTTCAGTAACAGTGATCAGGCTGTGCACATACTCTTGAACTTGAACTTTATTGCCATATGTAACCGGTCCTGGTACAATGGAATTCTTACTTACAGAAAGTCTCTCGTTTGTAAAACAAGTGTAAAAAACAAAACAAAGTGCAAACAGTGCATCAAGACAATGTAAAAACAAACAATAGACAATGTGCAAGTAAACATGCAGACAGTTTGAATGTAAACAATACAGACGTGTAAACAATGACTGGAGACGTACAATAAATAAATTACAATGAGGTAGATGGTGATGGTGTAGGTGTGGTCCGAGGGGGATGGCTAAATGTGTTGGCCAGTCTCACTGCTTGTGGATAGAAGCTATTGAAGAATCTAGTGGTAAGTGACCGTATGCTCTTATATCTCTTGCCTGAGGGCAGTGGGGTGAAGAGCTCATGCCCGGGGTGGTGACTGTCCTCTGTGATGGCCAGAATTCTACCACGGCAGCGGTCCTCATAGAGCTGTTTAATCTCGGTGAGACCGCAGCCGATGATCTTCTGGGCCATATTGACCATTCTCTGCAGTGCCTTTTTTTCTCGCGAAGAGGTGTTGCCAAACCACACGGTGATCCCGTTGGTGAGGACGCTCTCGATAGTGCAGCGGTAGAAGTTCACCAACACATGTATTGGCATCCCCCATCGCTTGAGGCACCTCAAGAAATAAAGGCGCTGCTGAGCCTTCTTCATGATAGAGTCAGTGTTCACAGTCCAGGTTAGATCTTTAGAGATGTGAATTCCCAAAAACCTAAAGCTGGTGACTGTTTCCACTTCCGTTCCATCAATACTGAGTGGGCTTTAGTAATCTTTAGTTATCTTTAGTAATCCCTGAAGCCAAAGAGTATTACTTTGTCTCTTCACCCATTGGGTTTGGTGTAGCAGAACTCACCTACATCCTACTTACAAGTGTGCAGGATCTTCTACACAGAAGGAGGTGTAACAGCTTATTCTTTTTCTTGAAAATATGAAGTGCAGCTGTATACTTTTACATTTCTTTGCATTTATATCACCCGATTTTTATTTTTTGTGCTATTCATTTTTGGCATTTTAAAACTTTCGTGTCAGACAACCTTGATACTTTTCCCCCCTTTAATTTCCCTTCTGTGTGAAACATGAGAGGCATTCAGTGTTTGAAGGAAAAAGCCTTTGGACTGCATTTGCAGCTTGATGTCACCAGGTGGCAGCACAGATTTACTTGGAAGAGAGGTTGGCAGCTCTCTAATCAATGGCTGTGGAATCTGTCTGGAGTCCCTTAATCTCCGTACTGCCATCCCTCATCTTTATTGCTGCGTATTTTTGAGAGCCCTGCTCCAAACTGCCTCGTCTGTCTGCG